AGTAATTAGCTTTGTCTGCACGTACTAGTGTACGTGAAGTTTCGCGGCACCCCAAACAAAGGGTTCCCCGTTACACCTGGTAGCACTTTGCAGTCCGTCTACGACTACTTGGTGTCTGCCAACATGAACATGTTGGACATAGAAGACGACAGGTTTCACGTCACACGTGAAGGCTAAGCCCATCTGAGCGACTCAGAATGGGAGATAGTCGTCCGCATGAGTTTGCTCATGGGCGAACCCGCCATCAGTGGCATGTCGGAGTTTCTAAGCAGAGGCCAGCAGTATACTGCTATCAACAAGTTCCTACAAGGGGAACTTGCCGTCATAAGACAGAAGATAGCCTTGTTACACCAGCAAGGCTCTCATCAGTCGATGGGCGAACCGACGCACATGTGTTGACCCGAAACCTTGAAGATAGACATCTCGAGGTACAAGGAAACCGATGAAGATTTCCTTTTGAGATGGTTCGTCGAGGTAGACGACGCCATCAGGGCCCGTCGCATGAAGGGTGACGAGGTGCAAGTCACTTTCGCCCTGTCAAATTTGACAGGACGAGCAAAGACTTGGGCCTTATGGCTCAAGCACGTTTACACTTTGGCTTCACGACCCAAAAGTGTTTGAGTCGTTGGAGATCTTGGAGTCTCGGCTCAAAGAGACGTTTGAGTCGCCACGAGCCGAGTTCAGAGCACGCTCTGCACTCTTAAGGCCCAAGCAAGATAAGCGTGATGTACATGCTTACGCACCACATCTACGCTACCTTGCGAGTAGCGTTACGAAGAACCCTGTTGTTGAACACACGCTCATCAACGTGTTCATCTACGGCCTTGTGGATGGGCCGGTGAAGACCTACATGTTCCGAGAGGACTTCCATACGCTGTAAAGGGCGATAGCGTATGCGGAACAAGAAGACTTCAGCCGGAGACAGTCTCAGGCTAACTCGTCAAACTTTCGTCCGACGAGACGACAGGAAACACAGGAAACAGGAGGTCCCGAACCAATGGACCTCTGTTACATCAAGAGCGAGAACTCTCGCTCTCTGAGTCACAAGCGATCGGCAAGATGCCATCGCTGTCAAAAGATTGGACACTACGCTCATAAGTGTAGTGTCCCGAGCACTGAAATAAGTCCAAAGCCAAGACATGATGACCACCTTTGGCCAAGGAAAGGTCCGAGGGGGAGGTCCACCCATGTCGCTAAGCCGCGACAGCAAGTCGGACCGTCAAAAAAAAACGGTCAGGGTAAGTAGGGGCGGAGCATCCTGCTGCTCCAGCAACGTCAAGAAAATTTGCAGGACTATTGACGAAGATTGCTCTCAACCCGCAGTCTCTGTGTGCTACTGTCCTTAGTGATGAGGAGTCTCGCATCACTGTGAAGATCGAGGTGACAAGTGGGATGTCATTTCGCGCCTTAGTTGACTGTGGGGCGTCGAACAGTTTTTGTTTACGTCAGTCGCTAGAAGATTGCAGACTCAACTATGTTGAGCGAGAGTTCCCTCCAACGAGGATGAAGGTGTGCCTTGCTACAGGCGCATCCGTAACAATAACAAACGTGTAGTGGGAATCCACTACACGCGAGAAGGAAAGCAGTACGATGATGACTTTATCGTACTAGATTTGGATGACAAATTTGATGTCATCCTCGGTCTGCCATGGCTTAGAAAGTATCAGCCATGGATCAGCTGGCAGCATCGACACTTGAAGATGACTGCCGTTTGTTCATCAGATGTCCATCTAATGAACGACTTGTAGCGTCCACAATCGTGTGGATGTACTACAAGTGAGTACGATGGCCTCACTTGTGGTACGGTCGTTAGTACGACTGCACAAGATTACAGTGTAGAAGGTTGTTGCACTGTGGAACCAGCTTCTGACACCCGTGTATAGACACAGGCTGCGCCGAGGGTTCACCACTCGAAGAGATCGAGTGGACTGGAACACGGATGCACACCAAGAAGGGTGCATACGAGAAGAGAGATTAGTGTCGATTAGGATGGACAACACGTTGAAGCGAGATCGACTATCAGAGAGTCGATCGTAGAGGAAGCCCGATCGACTGAAAGAGAGTCGATCGAAAAGGACGTGACTGCGGTAGTACACGTAACGGAAGAAAGTTCCAGCGTTCCTGAGAGCAGTAACTCCCGAGAGAGTTAAGTTGAGGGTGTGGATCCCCAACCACCTGCGGATGCGTTTTCCCAGGAAGTCACCGAGACAGTGAACGTCTTGGTGAATGACGGATCAAGTGTAGGCGCTTATACACTTGATCTGGTGACACCCCCGAAGTCAGCTTCAGAGGTGGTCAAGCTACCAACGCTAGAATCTAAAAGATTCTTGCGAGATCTGTGTTGTGACAAGATTAAGGAGAGTTGCGTACTCGTCACAGCGGACGAGTTCGTCACCGATATTCGGTTGGCACAAGTGTTTACTGAGAACGAACGGGTTCTCAGTAGCTCATCGGTGGACGAGAGTATCCTCGTTGAAAATACACGGATTGAGCGATAGACGTCTCAATCTTGGGAGTCTTGAAGACAAATCCTTTGTACAAGAAATTGGACGAGTTCAGGGATGTTTTCCGGAATCCGTGCCATGCGAGCTGCCAAAAGACAAAGGCACTCGGCATGAGATCAAACTGAAACCTGGTTCGAAATACTGTGTCACGATGCAGTTACCACTGCCTCGTGAACAGGTAACAGCGATCAACAAATTCTTTGCCGATCGATTAGCGGCTGATCATGTGAGGGAATCAACATCCCCTCACAGCTCTCCGACCTTCTGTGTGCAAAAGGCCACAGAAGGAGGTCGGATAGTGCACACGTTCAACAAACTGAACGCTGCAACGGTACCGGCTCAAACGCCGATCCCAAGAAAGGACGTCATCATAGATGGCATGGCAAAAAGTGCCATCTTTATGTCCATGGGTCTGATGGATGACTTCTATCAGATCCTCATGTGTAAACCGGATATCCCTTACACAGCAGTGATCACCCCCCGTGGTATGCTCTGGGAGTGGCTAGTAATGCCACAGGGGCTAAGTAACGCTCCTGCAAAGTTCAACAGATGAGTTACGAATCTGTTCCGATCGGTGCGAGATTTTGCACCGAATAACTTTGACGATGTCTTCGTCCATAGCCGGGCTATGGATGGAAAGACGGACGTGGAGGTTCATAAAATTCACGTCCGGAAAGTTCTTACACAAATTCCGAGAGTGTAAGCTATTTACGAACCTCAAGAAGTGCATGTTCGCATCAAACGACTTACCACTTCTTGGCTGCATCGTGGGTAAAATCGGCGTACGCCCTGATCCAGAAAAGATCAAGGCGATTACCGACTGGCCCGTGCCAGTCGACGTCAAGGTACTTCGAAAGTTCCTTGGCTTAGCGGAGTACTTGCACAAAAACTCGCGCAACTGTGCCGAGATGACTGTACATCTCTCTCGTCTGATAGCGAAAACGAGAGGTGGTCATGGAGTGCTGAGTGTCAGCACTCCTTTGAAGGCATCAAGAAAAGCGTGGTGCAATCGCCTGTGTTGGCGACTGCAGATCAGGATAGACCATTTCATGCGGTCTGTGGCGCCAGCGATTTTGCAATCGGCTGCGCTTCAATGCAGTAGGAATCAAACGGTGTTGAGCGCGTCGTCTGTTATCACTTGCGCCAGCAAGCAGCTGTGCATGATTAACCGATTCATGACCAGGAACTCCATGAAATATGCGCTGGATAAGTTTTGGGAGTATCTCTTGGGAGATATGCCCTTTATCGTTTATACCGACCATGCGTCATTACGCACGGCCGTAAACAGTCCACACCTCTCGCAACAAATGGCGAGGTGGCTGTCTTTCTTCGCGGAGTACAACTTCTCCATCGAGTAAAAACCAGGATGACTTAATGTCGTCGCTGATGCTCTTTCGCGTCAGCCCGATTTAAAGCCGACTGCTCAACCTAACAGTAAGGGTGATCCCACTGTTGCAACACTAACAGTGAGTGTTTCGTCGTCGAATCTACTTGACGACATGCGGAAAGCATATGCAGAAGATGAGTCTTTCTGTGATTGATGGATTACGTGTCTAATCCATGCAGTCAAGCTTCGAAAAGCTTGACGTCTCAATACCGCTCTTCAACCGAACGGTATTCTGTTCGTAATGGACTGCTGTACTATACAGCAGTCAACGGCGACACGCCTCGTGTCGTCGTTCCCGCTCATGATGATTAGCGACTGCGCATCATGTACGAGTGTCAAGATGCCCCAACAAGTGGACATCGCGGTAGAGAAAAGACTTACCTCACGGTAATTGGTGACTTCTACTGGCCCCGCCAGTATGAGTCTGTGCGCAAATACATTCGTGCTTGCGAAGTTTGCCAACGGGTGAAGCCTAGTCCTTCATCCCGCGCACCCTTGCAGCCTCTTCCGATTCCGGCAGAGTGTTGGCAGTCCGTATCGATGGACTTCGTCTTTGTTTTTCCCAAAGACGCTCACAAGAATACTGGTATTCTTGTGTTTGTTGATCGGTTCAGCAATATGGTGCATATTGTTGCTGTACCGAAGTCAATCACATCCCAGGGCTGTGCTGGTGTCTTCATCGATACTATCTTCGGACTTCATGGGTTACCCCGTGAACTCGTGTCCGATAGGGACCCCCGCTTCACAGCGGAGTTCTGGCAATCCGTGTTCCGTTCACTTGGAACACGTTTGAAGATGTCAAATTCTGACCATCCCGAAACAGACGATCTAACGGAACGCGTCAACGGCGTTCTGGAAGAGATACGTCGAGGGTATGTCCACTCGTTTACGAGCTGGAGTGAGTTCTTGCCAATGGCGGAATTCGCCATCAACAACTCGATGCAAGCATCGACAATGCATACACCGTTCTTCGTGACTGGCCTACGCCATCCACGTTTAATTGCCTTCTTAGAGTGTGACTCTAGTTTAAGGAGGGGGGGGGGTGGACTCGCTCGAACAAAAACCGATCTGGTTCTTGCTCATCACCCGTCGACAATGGTGTCGACGTGATGAATGCCGATGTCGTTGGAATCGATGTAGATGATGACGATGACGACGATGCTGGTATCTTCAGCATCGCCAATGACCGCCAAAGTGAGGACGATGATACCCTCACTGGTGAAGACAACGCTCTTTCAGCATTGCACACGAAGCGCACTGATGTTAACAAGGATGAAACAGCAGGGGGATTTCTGCTGACTCGCGAAGCGGTTTTCCGCTTCGTTCAAGACTCTATTGCAGATGCACTAGACAGACAGAAGAGAAATGCAGACAAACATGGAAGAGCAAATGTTCTTTCAGTTGATGGAGAAGACCATTTTACTGTCTACAGTAAATCTACCGAAGCACGCAGTGGCAAACGTGGGCAGCAGTAAATTACTGCCCAGGTACATCGGTCCATTTCGTGTGATGCGCCGAATGGGCAACGCAAACACAATTGAACTGCCCCGTAAGATGCGCACGCATCCTACGTTTTACGTCGATCGTCTCCGCCCGTACTATCAGTACGAGCCCGTTTCGAGATGCAAAGGCACCTCCACGGTCAAGGGCCAAGACCACTTTCGATGGTCCCGCTTCAACGAGCCAGTCTGGTCGACTAGCGAAGCGACCTGCTCGCTCAGTCGAACAATGTCCTGACGAGCTTCAGTCAGCTTGTCACGAAGAAAATGAACCAAGCGTTCGTTCTCAAGTTGCGCGAACGTAAAAGTGGCAAGATCTTCCGAACGATTGTGCGTTAGGGAATTATAATTATCCCTCACAAGATCCTCAATCCCATAACGTTGGGATCGTTTATGAGCCAGGTCATCTTGCAACTATTCCGTTACAAGGGCTAGCTCTTGAACATCAATTTGATCCGAACCTCGAGCCGTATCAGGTGTTCCCACCGCCACCACATCCTTTGGTGGACTCAAGCGGTGGTCAACGCTTCTAAGTGAAGCGTATTTTGAGCCACCGCTATGTGAATGTCGCGGTCTCGGTCTCGAATCGCACCGATCTCGATTTGCCTTCGGGATTGGGGTCTTTGCTGTGCGGAAATCTTCACTCAGCAAATAGTAGTCTTGCGTCGATCTTGCCTTGGGATCAGTCCGATCTGGTCTTGGGATCGTCCGATCTTGCTGAAAGTACGCAATTTGGGCAGATCGGTCCTTGATTTCGTTAAAATGAAACACGCCAATCTGTCCAGTGGATCGCTTCGATCTTGCTCGGCCTTGTCTTGAACGCCTTGTCCAAATCTTCTGACCACTTGAGCCGTCTCGCGATCTTGTGTCTAAAATTCTTTTCGTTTGTTGCTGCTACCCTAGCAGTTGAGTTGAGAGTGAGTACTTGATCGATCCGGGCCAAACTTCCCAAGGTCGCTCTTCCCGATCTTGGCCTACAATCCAAGATCAGTCTTCTGTGTCCTTGGAATACGCGTGCCTTGACCCGCCGGGAAGCCAAATCAATCCTGCCCGGAGAAGAGGGGAGGAGAACATGCGTCGTGAGCAGAAGAAGTAGAGTTCAAGTCTGTTTATTAACCTACCAAATTATTAGCCAACCTATCTTTAAACCTATTTTCAAATATAGGTCACTCTCCATATCGATATCACCTTTAAGCTGGACCGCCCCCTTGAACACGTGTCAAATTTTTATGACCTGCACTCCAAAGATAGCGCCAATATCCCCGGTATCGTACCTAAACGCCAAAAGAGGACCAAATACCAAATGTGGTACCAAATACCCATTTTGGTACCCAAAAGCCCGAAATAGTGCCCAAATGCCGAATGCGTCTAAATCCATTTTGCGACGTCAATTTAACCGGCTTCCACTGGCTCTTTCGATCTGAACTTTTGAGACATCACTCATGGACCTTCAACAAGCATGTTTGTTATGATCCTAAAGTCTCATCAACGATGTATCCATAATCAGTGGGGAACATGACCGATCTGATGCCCGATTCGAGATCGACACAGTACAATCCGGCCAAATTTGTTCTTCCGTTCATTGTGTGTGCTCCGATGTCTTTTTAAAAATGATTATGCTTCAACATCCACATCCTTGCCTTTGATCAGCCTTCAGAGTGGTCGTTCGGTTCAATCCAGACTCTTATCCCAGATTGCACCGTAGAAATCACCCCTTTCCACGCCCCGTCTCAAATCACGTCGCATCGCCTGGTCCCATGCGTATCTTTCTCAAATAATTCTGCTTCAACATCCACATCCTTGCCTTTTATCAGCCTTCAGAGTGGTCGTTCGGTTCAATCCAGTCCCTCGTCCCAGATCGCACCGTGGAAATCACCCCTTTCCACGCCCCGTCTCAAATCACGTCGCATCGCCTGGTCCCAGGCGTACCTTTTCCACCAGTGGGTGACGTCTTAACTGGGTGGACACCGATCCACGTCCCATCATTTAATCAGTGACTTTACCACAATGGCGTCCGGACGAGTTACCTCCTCCGCTGGCGCGGCTATCTACCGGCGTGGGACAGCTGGGAGCCTCGTGCCCAGCTGATTGTTGATGTCCTTGGTCTCGTCGAGCAGTACGACGAGACCCACCCGCTGCGTTCGAAGGAGGGCCGTCGGAAAATGACCTCCCTGAACGCAAGTGCAGGGATTGCAAAGTGTCGATCCCTTCGGCCATCTCAGAAGAGATGCGCGCCCTCCAGTAGGGATCATCAGGGAGGTAAGCCTCCCTAGGGGCACGGTACCAGTTGTCCAGGCAACCTGGACACAAATAACCCCACGAGAGACAGGGTAATCCTGCCTCTCTTGACAGCCGGTGCAACTTTTATCGCGCCCCGACTGGGTTGCGTTTCTCATACCTGATGCGAGCTGCATCAAGTTTGGGGAGCCAAGCCTCACGGCCATTACACTAGATGTTGTGGATGAGGGCATTCCATCCTTGCACCAAGGCTTTGCCGTCTCGTACGCGTCTACCATTGTACCACCGATGTTTGAAGAACGCATCGGTGAAAAACTCTTCCTCAGCACGGATAGTTCCCGTGCTGGAATCAGGTGAGCAATTCTTTCTGCAATCGAACAACGGGATTCGATCCCGTTCGGTAGTCGTGCCGGCCAACAGATCCAACACTCTGGATGATAACATCCACAAAGACTCCACTTGGGGAGCGTGGCGCGGGACGTTTTGGTCTCCGGCCTCTTGAGTAGTGTCAGCACGAGCACTGACATCAGTGGAGGCTCGATCTATCGAGTGACTCCGCTCGTGGTGATGCATAGGTGCATCACCACCATCTCCACGCGCCCTATCGTTGGATGGACTTGCGTGAGGCGGAGATTTATCGGAATAAAACTCGATCCGAAGATCTCGGTCAGGATACTGCCGCGCTAACCAGAGCCAGTCAGCCTGGCTTTTGCATCGTCCGCCCCGGGTTATCAAAAGGCGTGGTGAGTCGCCTTCGAGTCGGATGATGCATCCGACTCGCCAGAATAGATGAGCTCAATTTCAGGCTCATCTACGTTGCGATTGGCGGTATTTGCTGCAGACGCAGCGGATGTATCGGTCGCACTTGGACATCAGCAGGTGACGAATCACCTGCTGCTGAGGTGTGAGAAGTACTCTCTCCGGCTGCACGCATGCGTGCAACCGCCTTTCTTGCTGCTACTGTAACAGTTCGCTTGAATTTCGAAACCATGCATTGGATTGGCAAATGAGTTGGAATTTGACGAACATGTGCTATTCTTCCCAGAGTGATCCAACGGTGGTCACCCTGTCCCAATCAATTTTATTTAATCAACAAATGATTGATGGTTAGGGGGGGTGATGTTACGGGGTAGACCGTTACATGGTATTGACACCAAACGGTGCCAATAGAGATACTGTCTAGCATGACAATAACTTACCAATGTTATCCGATGTGGATAATTTTGAAGGAATATTACCCCCTTTTAGGATGCTGTTCATGCGCTGCTCAAAGATTGGGTGATAAAAGACATGTAAACCCTAGATAACCACCAATCGCTGCTAGACGCGCGCAATGAGGGTGAGCAGGTTGTCGTCACACGACGACGTAGCTTGATATAGTTTCTGGAATAAACCTGCTTAGCCTATCTGGCCGACCTTAACTACGAACTGATATCTGGCCGACCTTAACTACGAACTGATACGGATTGGCCTAGGCGCACTACCATGGAAAAGACTTTCGCCTGTTATCTGCCATTCATACATCTCGCAATTCTTTACAAGATAAACGGCATTGATTAAAAAAGCAGCAAAGTTGGCCCTTATGTATCAAAAACTGACCTGCTGCTTTTTAAACATAAATGGCCGGTGCAGAGTCGCAACGGGGTGGCCACAATCTCGAGCGAATCAATTTTGTGTGACCCGTTTCGCATACGTGGGCGCAATCAGGAAAGTAAAGAACCGTTGGTCAAAAAAGTGCGTGCACAACCATGCCGGTTTGACGGTAGTGTAAAAATGGAAAGAATCGTTAGCAATAAAGTAGTTTCTTGTCCCACAGTGCAGTTGTGTGTCATGTGGTTAACACTACCTATTCCTTTTTTCGATTCTGCATCGGTACAGGAATTAGTTGACGACAAATATGTGTATTTGTCTAGTACTGGTAATGAGATATGCTCTCGCGGTGTCAGTGCGTTTGCTCTCATGGTGTTAGAGATCGATACCCGGTGGGGGTTCGATTACAGGGTGCCGGAGATAGACCGATAAAGTAGACGAGCAACCACGCAGAAGTGGCCGCCCTGCCAACCCGCGCAAGGCGTGTGATAATTAGGTGGGCTGGAGCCCCTACTGACGGAAAAATCCCCATAGTGTAATGAGGGGTGCGGGTCCTGTAAGGAGTTCAAACTGAGTCACAGTACTTGCAGTTCACCCCAGGGTGATCTGAAGGACCGCGCGGCATAAATCTCTCATGGTGTTATACTTTGATGCATGGAACCTTCCACTAATCTTCTACCATGACTATTTGTCCTTATCCGCGCCGGCTCATTCTGCTGGCTGCATACACTTTTAGCGTCACGGGGGGGGGGGAGGGTAACTCTGAGGACGGAGCGTGTGAACGGTAGCCCAGCTAGTGTGCATGTAGGGTGCCGAGGATGCCTGCAAGGGATGTGCGTGGGCACTTCGGACCAGCCCCAAGGGATCATCCTAACTTGTCCGCAGCATGTACATCCCAAGGTAAGCCCACGGGACAGCAGCACGTTCATTCTTCGTGGGATGTGTATTGCGCGCGGTGAACGAGTCGGCAACTTGTCCCACCACGTCTACGACAACGCCTATTTGATCGTCTTCAGGAAGACCGCACCGCTGCGGAGGATGAACTCCGACGCAATGGGTTTGTCTTATGTTCCGTTTGCCAAGTGCATCTCTGGGCTAGAAATACGCGGTGGTATTTTGAAGCGAGACGACTTCTGCGGCCGGGAGTACGTCAACATTCTAAGAAACTGGTATGCGGCAGCTGAAGGCAATCGACCTGCACGAGAGCCGATCCGCAGAAACAGCCGACCGTGGTGCTCATCTCCACGCCTGATTCGAATTACTCAGTCAAAAGCCACAAGGGCAATTGGCCTCACCGACAGTTAGACACGACAAGCAACCCTATCCGGCGCATGTAACACGGCTCAAAACCTTTCAGACATCTTGCTCACGTGAAAAGACGATCATGAAACACATCCAACGAGTTGACAACTTGAAGGCGAGTGTACGAAAGCAGAAACTTATTCATGCCTGTGTGCTGGACGGGTGTCTGTTCTCAGGTACCGCACACCTCAGAATTCTTGCCTGTTGCTCCCCTTTTGGATCGCACGCTTGCTGCTTCCGGTGGTATATTCCCAAATTTTCAAGGTTCAGCTCAAGCCAGTCTTTTCTTACCTCTTTGGGGACGGCCACTTCGAACGAAATCCTCCCCGTGGGGAGCCGAAGGGGTCTAAGGTCGGCCCCGAGCAAGCTACACTCGCAGTCTCAGGTGTGGACGCAGTTGACCGACGGGTCGCACAAGCGGCCGATGGGAGCCACTATCTCGGGGAGATACTACGGCGGTTTGGCGTTCCCCACGCCTTGTGGTTACTTCAACGGCTACACTCTACGTCGATGATCCGCGCAAGCGGCACACGGAGACCCACCATCGCGGATGGACCGGACTAAGGGATTTTAAAGCCAGGTGGTTAGCCCTCGGATCCTCCAGCGCTCACATCTTGGCTAAGGCTGTACCAGAGATCATCCACATCGTTAAAATCCTGGCGCAGGACTTTCAGACATCTTGCTCATGTTAACATGTAAATAGACGATCGTGAAACTCCTTGCTGCTTCCGGTGGCGCACGCAGCGAAGAGAAGGCCCTCCCTTTCACCTGGGACTTGCGATGGAAGACTTTCCACCCAGGGTTAGGGGCCCGAGGAGTAACCGGTCGATCGAGGTCTTTGTCGCTTGGTGGTTGGTGGCCGAGAGCCCAAATTGAGAAGTGATATGCATGCATCGAGTTGCTCGAGGGCAAAGCTACACAGTATTCAGTTCTCACTAGAACCATCCACGACAAGACCCCGGGTCCCTTCCGGTTACATCCAAGCACTGGATTCCCCCCAGATCTTGCACTTCGTTAATTGCGTGTCGATAGACAATCTGAACCTCTCTCTCACCACCGACTATCGCTTCCCAATCTCGTGCTTTCGGTCAAATTCAGCTTTCTTGTGTGCCAAATCGGACCAAAAAAGAGTCCCCCATGACAAATACATGCAGCGATTCCTCCATGTCGGGAGGTCCCGCTGCGAGTCGAGCTGTGATCCCGCCAATGCTAACGCAAGAGAATCGAGATGCGCTAGTGTACACGCCGCAATGCCATCAGCGATGGGGTGAGCGCCAAGGCGAGGATGCAACGTCACGGATAAAAAAGGCAGAAGTTGTTGACAAATTCCTTTTGAAATTTGCATGGCTCAACGAGACGGAAGTGGTCCGTCTATTTGTTTTTTTGGCTGCTCTGGATAATGGCCATAGAGAAACCTAAACAGTCGCTAACGTCTCGTTTCGTTCATACCGATTTGTGCACCTAGGCACTGCAATGTCTTTTTGAGAGTGACTTTGACCTGCCACGGGCCGTGGAACTGCTGCACGCTGCTCGTTACAAGCGACGCAAAGTACAACGCAATCAGACCGAGAAACTCGATCCTGAATCATTCAAAGCTGCACTTGATATGTATGGCAAGAAGTTTCACCTCGTGAAGGTACGTCTGTTTCGAATTGGGTACTACGAGGGGTAAGCGCTGACTTCCATTGACCGGGGGATGCAGCAAGCGCTAGGAAACCAAGTCACAACTCGGGAGATCGTAAGCAATTACTACTCGTGGAAACTAACGCCCGAGTTTGAAAAATGGAGGCGCCGTCAAAGACCAACAAGGAAGTGTAGAGAGAAAAGGAAGGAGACCAAGCGTCTGCGCTTAAATGGTGAGTCGGATGAAGACCCGGTAGCAGAGACTTTTCAAGACTACCACGACAAAAAATGTGGACTGTGCGCTACTGGTGGTAAACTACTGCGTTGCGATGGCTGCACACGCGCCTACCACTTTGGTTGCATCCAGTCTCCAATTACAAAAACACGTCCAAGTGACGATGAATGGTTTTGTCCGTACTGCCAGGAAGCATTTGGCGGTACGAAGCCCGAGATGATGCCGAGCGAAGAGAACGAGTACTGCCTAGTGTGCCTTCCTTTTCCGGGTGTACCGCAAACGTTAAATGAGGCGATGACCGACAGCAGTAGTGAAGGAGAAGTCGATAAGGCAGAAGGGAGCAGCGATGTGGACGCCAGTTTGAGGTCGAACGATGAGGAGATCAGCAAACTTAACGTCAGAACGTCAGCTCTTCTCAGACCGGAAGAGCTGGTTGCAAAGACTGCTGATCCTGGAAACCTTCCCACCATTAAGTCGGACCCGAGCGCCAAGAAGTTCCCATCATCATTGCACGGAGCGGACGTAATCGAGCATGGCGATTCGGAGCATATGCCCACGTCAGTGAAGGAACCATCTGCGCCCATCCAGCCGAGTGCACCAGCTGGCCAGTCACGCGTTGGCTCATCGCAAGCTGCACCGAACAGACTGCTGGAGCGATTCGTTGAAGTACCGGGAGGGAGAGCGCGTTTGCAAGTGGAGAGGCCAATTCCAGGGCGAAGACGCCATCGCAAGATGTTGGTGCCGCGCCGTATCCCACCATCTCGACTCGACAATTGAATCAAGTGCTTGGTGTCTTTTGGTTGTACACTGCGAGTGTTTCTCGCTCTTTCGATGAACACGATGCTGCTTGCGTGCTTGATTTTCGTCCCACTTGTACCGATTAAGTAGCAAGTCGCTAGGCGAGCATCTGTTGACAAATACACATCCTGTCGCAGCAATTCGAAGGATAACTCGCTGTCCCTCTTTTTCTGTGGGGCTAGAAACAGGGGCGCCTGTATTTTCTCATTCTTACAGTCTCGCGACCAGACACAACCAGACAAGCGCAAAAACGCAGCATCAAAATCAATCGAAATGGCGGCGGAGATCCCAGCGTTGCTATCTATGACCCAGCAGCAAGAGCAGGACCCGCTTTTTGTTGAGCCCCGGTACCAACAACAATGGGGCTGGCGTGATGGTCAACGGCCGAAACTTTCTCCGAACGAGGAAAAGGAGTTTATACGCACATATGCCTGGCCAAAAGAGACAGAGCTGGTACGCTAGGATGTGACCGATCGGGGGTCGTCCTTCGCAGTATCGAAAACTTACGGTATTGAAACACCTGTATGCTTGATTTTCTACATCTCGCAGGCGCTCCAATGCCTGTTCAAAGGAGACTATGACGTGCCTCGCGCCGTCGAGCTGATCCACGCCGCTCGTCGGCAGACGTTGCGACTAAACGAGGAAGAGACAGAGCGGGTCCATAAAATCACCTTCGAGAGAGCGATGGATCGACACGGCAAAAAGTTTCATCTCGTCAAGGTAGGACTCACCGGGTGTTGCGACGACTTGTGGTTAAACTGCACGACTGACTCGTTGTTGTTCTCTTCTTCTTCATCTTCTGCTTGACTTGACTTGACAGCGGAGGATCGGGAAAGACGTGACGACGGGCGAGGTGGTGAGTAAATTTTACATGTGGAAAGTCACTCCCGAGTACGAAAAGTGGCACGACGGGCAGCGAGAGAAGAAAAGAAAGAGGGAAGCGAAACGACTGGAACAACTTCAAGTGGCCACAGACCAGCACCGAGAGTATTGCGAAGTCTGCCTAAAGGATGGCAAGCTGTTGTGCTGCGATGGCTGTGAGCGAGCTTGCCATCTTAATTGTGTACGGCCTGCCCTCTTGGACGTTCCCGAGGGCGATTGGTTCTGCTCGCACTGTCGAGATGCGGCAAAAAAGACATCACCATCGATGAAGCGCATTGCATCGAACGCACTGGGTGTGAACACATCCACGCGCACTTCAACAATGAGATCAAAGAAAGATCGCACCAGGTCAAAGGATGGCAGTAATTTGCCATTTGCCCGCCCCGTTCGTGGGTTTGGAAAGAAGATGAAAGGAGACGAATCGACGATGGCGAAACACGCTTTGAAAACCAGACCGACGACAAACAGAAGAAAAAAGCCTGATGGCAAAATCGATACCAAAGATTTGGATGGGATCAGTGACATAACGACCGAGTCCGAATCCGACGGCGGTGCAGCCAACGTCTTTCAGTCCCTCTCGTCGAACTGTGCAGTCACAGCGCCACTTAAGAAGAGAAAGCACAAGTCCTCGGCGATTCAAACGGTTGCAAATCGACCTCGCGGCAAGACGCAATCGTCAGGCTCTCTAGATGTGTGGAGTTGCTCAGTCGAACCTGTTTGTGAAAAACGCTTGATTTTGCCAAAGCAGAAGCACACGAAAGCTGAACCAGTTGTTAGTCGGTATCGGCACATTTTGCCGGTACTGTCACTCGAGTATTGCAGCAACCCGGTGACATCAGTCTTGAGAGACAGTGTTTCTCTACAGCTTGAGACTACATCCGCCAGTCGGAAACGCAAGCGTCGGTACGATGTTTCGCCCAGCACCTTGCAATTACAAACAAAAGGATGAGTCTGACAACAGCTGAGTTCCAACATTCTCCAGTGAAAGAGTTGTTCTTCCTACTCTTGTGGCTAGACCTACAGCGTGGTAGAATATCTAGTATGGAGGCGATTCTGATACGTCTGGCGGTGTTGCATCATGCGACATCGTGAAGAAGTGCAGGGTGAACGCTGGGCGCTTATCTTTGGCTTACGGCAAATGATATTAAAGCGGCGTCCATTGAAAACGATGGATGTAGTATTTCGTGAAGTCTACCGATTGCAACGTGTTCGCACACTGTTCGTCCCTTGTACCCCAGTCAGACCATCGATCGCTGGGTCACCGTCGCCGCATGGGTCGCAGCTGGGCTTGCAGTCGTTAAGGCTGGCGTAACAGCTCTAGATCCCGGTGCCGTGACAGCTTTTGGACCCGCTGACCCGATGGCACCAATAGAGGCTCCCGTTGCAGCGACGTTGGACGATGCGTCGTTGGTGGAAGAGTCAATGACAGCAGCAGCAGTCTTTGGAGCCAGCGACTACCGTGGACGGGACACTGACAGGAACAGGAATGAATTGCGGCACTTCCACGGGAATAGCGATTTTCTTGGTTTTCTTGACTTGACGATGATGGTGGTGACGGCGATCTTTTCTGCTTTCATCGGCACTTTTTTGGACACATGTTCTGCAAAGCGTAGGTGATATGGTACACTTGCGGAGACGATGCCCTTGTTCAGCGCTACGAAGGTCGCGAATGTGGCGGCAGATTATTGATGCTGAAGTCGATCGAGACGGGGGTGGTGAGAGACCGGCTCGACGTTTGCTGATTTATGATCGCGTAAGAGGTACGCGGTATCGTTTGCTGCGCATTTCCATTGGCACTTTTCGTCACGAAAACCTCACTTGGATCGGTAACGTAGAAGCATAAAGTGGCTCTGAAGAGTGACCGCATTGAAGTGATGAACACGCGCTGAAGGAGACGGAGAATGAAAGTCGAGCGATGCATTGGTTAAGTGACCACAGGTCCATTTGCTACAGGCTGCTAGTGAACGAGATGGAGATGTGCATTCGGGGCGAGACAGTCAAGCTCGAGTCCCTGCAGTAGCAGCACATCCACTCCTGCGTCCTTGAGTAGTCGCACGCCTTCGCAGATCACGAACGTCTTGGGCTCCATCACGCCAATGACGACACGCGCGACACCTGCGCGAAGACAAGTCTGGACACACGGGACGTTCCCCGACACCCGAGTGCTGCACGGCTCCATTGTGGTGTACACGGTCGCCCCCTTTGCGTCGTAGTTGAGTTTGTGCAGCGCCACCTGCTCTGCGTGCGTGTTGCCCGGAAGTTCGCGTGAGAATCCAGAGCTCAGAACATGATTGTCGCGCACGACTACGCAGCCAACGCAATAAGCGTTTTCGGACGGCTGAGAGCGATGCGCTTCGGCAATGGCCATGCGCATGAACGCCGTGTCTGAAGTCACCATCCAAAGACCAGTCGATAGAGTGGCTCGATCTTACGCTTTCAAATGTAAACGGGTTGAGGAATTACACTAAATTACTATGACTCGTTTACAGCTCAATGAAGTGGAGCTGCTGCGTGTGTCGCAGCTCTAACTTTACACGCTGTCAATTTGATTGACGCCACATGTCATTTTTATTCGGTTTATTAAATTGTTAGTCCCATTCTATGCCTCGTTCCTTACCCATACTGTCAGCGACTAGTCTGATGTCTACCAAATGTCCACACATGAATCACATCGACACGCCTATTGTCTACTCAAAACCAATGCATGGTTCCTGCTGTCGGCTTCACTGCCTACTTAGCCAAGCTGTGTTTATGACAAAGTGGCAAGCGACGCGAGGGTCTTTTGGCTCGTCAACTCATTCAGCACGTGGACGACAGCGCGTTCCATGAGGCCAGCATTTGCCTCCTGCGTGGCCTTGAACGCTTCAAGCGTGAGCGGTTTGCCTAGGCCATTGGCCATGTTGTCCACAATGGAAAACATGGCAAATGGCACACGCAGCTCATTGATGAGCTCGGCCTCGTTGGCCCCGGTCATGCCAACGAGTTGGCCGAAATGGGCGAAGAAACGCACTTCCGACTTGGTCTCGAAGCGAGGACCAGCGGTTTGCACGTAGACGCCGCCTTTGTGGGGGTTGAACCCTCCACCGTTCAAAGATTGGATAAGAGCAGCCTGGAGCTTGGCGTCGAGGCTAGGCACGAGGTGGGCGTCGTAGTCATCGGACAGGTGCAAGATGTCGAAAGGACTGAAGTAATCATCGGGCACGACGAATCGTCCCACGTCGATCGTCGTGGTCATGGACCCGACCGAGTAGATACCAACCACGGCCTCACAGTGCAGCTCCTTCAGCGCCAATGCAATGGCACGGAAGTTGATCAGCCGAGGCTGGCGGTACTTGCCATCAGGGTCCGCGTGATGGCGCTGCACGAAGACGAGCTGCAACTTGACGTCGCTGTTTGGTGCTGACCAAGTTCCGACGTGGCACACTACGCCGCCAAAGGTCGTGTCTACGACCTGCTCGACTCGACCGGACGAGAAGCTCTTAGCATGGAAGAGACTCGAGCCGCCGATCACGCCCAATACGTGCGTGTTTGAAGCCATGACGTTAAGTTGTTGGGACTAGATGAGATAATAGAGTTGTAGCTACTGAGTACGAAGAGGTCGGCAAGGTTTGGCGCTGGTTCAAGAAGTGGTCAATGCAAAAGTGGGAAGAGGAGACGTGCGTCGACATCGATCTGGCAAGTGATTGTACAGTTTTATTGTCGTTGCTAGAACTTTTGATACTTTATTGAGTTGCTGTGCGAGCTCTTCTTGGCCACACAATATACAAGTTCAAGTAAGAGTTTGTGACGTCGCGACGAACCGCGGAAACCGGTATGTCCATGGCTGGAACGCGAGTAAGTCGCAATACTGGCACCAACCAGATGCAAAAGTCGCGATACCGGCTCCAGTCGCAAAACCAGCACCCTTTCAGCACGAAACTAATGTGAGCCACGTTTTTTATGATCCTGTGACTGAATAGTACGAGGCTGCAGGTGCCATGAGTAAAATTGACATGGCATAAATACTATCGTTGTATTGAGATGTCCGGCGAAGAGCAGCGATCTTAGGCGAGGTTCATGGTGCCGCTGAGCTGGCACTGTTCGTTTGAATGACAGGGTCACTATGAGATATTGTACCTGGGTTATGTGTTTGATGCATTGATGGTGCTGCCATTTGTCACGACTGCGACTGCAGTGCCCAACACCCTTCCAACCGACATCCACAAGCGATCGATCGATTTCCATGCTACTGAACTGAAGTTGCAGCTCATAGCTCTTCATGTCATCATCTCAACCAAAGAAAATGTTAGAACATAATGAGTGACGACTACGTGTATATTGAACAGATAACGGTTCCGGATGTATGTTGTTGCTGAACTCTGACCGACAAACCTGGTAAACGATCATGTCCGATAATTGCATGTTAATCGGTCGGCAGCGCCGTCAAAACACTCATCGCATGCAGCTATACAAAAGCCTGCACTTGTCCCCTCAAAGTCAGACCGTGCTAGACACTTGCTGCTCTTGCCGTAACAACGACGCGTGTCTAGTGTGTGCTACCGCTTACCTCTCGCACGGCCCGTCGAACGCGCTCGCACGACCGTCAAAGGGAGGTGAGGACAAGCGACTAGCTGTAGCTTCATTCCTATGACACGAAGGTACAGTATTCAACATGAGCAAATGACACAACACACATAACACACATCAACACGTCAATCATAAGTAGTCTGAACAGTGTCTATAACTATGCACGTCAGTAATACCTCATAACTGCTATACCTTTGGCTGCGATACGTCGAAATTAAATAACGCATGACTTGAAATCTGATCAATCGCGAATGCCGCACAGTCACAGGTTACGGTTGTCCTGTTTCGAGTGGCTAACGGCGTCTGAGGAATGGAAGGAAAAAATTATGGTAGGATGATTTAGCGTGGTACACGTTAAATCTGCACTGAAGTGGTGCTGGTTTGCGACTGGACCCGGTATCGCGACTTTTGCATCTGGTTGGTGCCGGTATTGTGACTTACTTCTAGAACACTCAAACTCGTTTGCAAAATTGCGAAACATAATTGAAACGATTTCAGATCTGATACAACAGGCCTCGAAATACTTCGCGCAGTATACGGCAGAATACCAACGGGTTAACATCGAGATTGTTACAGGCCCGAAGACTTGGATGACAGCTTAAATTGTTAACATAGCACCGTCTACTGCTTTTTATGTTCATGGATAGGTTTGGAAGAATCGAGAAGGACTGGCTGAGAAGAAGCACAGCATGACATCATCGGGTGACGTCACAAGGAGAGCTTCTTAAACCTTCTGGAAGATCTTGAGAAGATCGAAGGGTGTTGATTGGTCTAGATAAACCAGTGAACCTTCTAGAAGATCTTGAGAAGATCGAAGGGTGTTCATTGGTCTAGCTAAATCAGTGGGACTGATACAGTTTGTCTAAGTATAGGAAATGAGTGGCTTAGAGGTAGCGAAGCAAGTTTGCGAACTAAGGACCATAAATATATTCACTTCACAATTTGCCTTCGCCTGCGCACATCAACATCAACAGGTTAACAGCCGCAACGCGCTCCAAACCGCCAAGCCACCACGTCCACCATGACAAACAAGCGGTGTGAAGTCCTCCTGGGTAGTGGAAACTACTTCCACTGGGAGTATAACATGCGCATGACGTTGGCGCGCAAGGGGCTGCTGGTGCACGTTCAAGTCATCAAGAAAGAAGAAGAGATGACGGATGCCTGGCTGTTCAACGACGCTAAGGCACTGGGTATCATCGCTCAAGGCATAGAGCTACAGCACCAGACCAAGATACGATCGGCGACGACAGCTATGCACGCGTGGGTCATCTTGCGGGACTTCTACAACCGCACCACGCTCCACAATCGTGTCGAGATGACACGTCGTCTGCATGAGTTCAAGATGGAGAATGGTTCGACCATGTCGAAGAACTGGGATGCTTTTGACGAGCTTGTTGTCGGCCTCCAGACACTTGGAGAGCCAGTCGATGACTCTCGGCAGCTAGTGGTGCTGCTTAGTAGTCTTCCAACGGACTATGAGCTCACCTCGTCAATTGTAGAGAATTCCAAGGACATTACGCTCATCGAGGTCAAGGAAAAGCTGCTCAAGGAGCATGAACGATTGCAGAGGAAGGAGACTACGGAGAAGGCGTTTCCTGTAAGCAGCAACGGTAGACGGTTCAAGGGAGGCCAAGGTAACGGCCGCAAGGGAACCTATCTACGGAAAACCAACACCGGAATTAAAGGCAAGTGCTTTAAGTGTGGTCAAGTCGGACACTATAAGCGGGACTGCCTGAAGCGTAGCAATGGCGAGGAAGAAGGTGCTGTGTTTGCTGCTGGTGAGTTGCAATGCGAAGAATGGCTTATCGACAGCGGGGCTACGTCGCACATGACACCACATCGGAGCGATCTATTTGAGTACAAGGAGTTGAAGACTGGTCAACAAGTCTCTATCGCTGATGGCAAGAAGCTGCAGGTAGCTGGAGTGGGAACAGTCAAGCTGAAAGGTCTAGACGGTCGACGGATCATGATGGTCGATGTCATGCACATACCAGGACTTGACAAACGCTTGCTGTCCGTTGGCAAACTGGCAGGACGAGGCATAAGGGTGGAGTTTCAAAGCTCGTCCTGCATCATTTGGAGTGCCAAGCGCGCGATTGCAAGCGGCAAGAAGATTGGCAAGGCGTACTTCCTGGATTGCGAACAAGAAGAAGCCCGGCTTGTAGAATACGCAGGGGCTGAAAGTGAGTGGGAGCTTTGGCACGCTCGCTTGGGACACCCCGAAAGATCTGGTATGGACAAGACACAGCGCGCTACGAGTGGTATGCCGGCGGTAAAGCAGGGCATCGAGAAGCTGTGCAGTGGATGCTTGAAGGGCAAGCTGACGATCGATACATTCCCGTCTCAATCGCTAACAAGGACGTCACGTGTGTTGGAACTAGTACACACGGACGTGATGGGACCGATGAGGTCTCAAAGGGTGGTGCACGATTCGTATTGACATTCGTAGACGACTACTCAAGATTTGTGGCAGCGTACTTCATGAAGCACAAGAGCGAGGTGGCCGCAAGGCTTAGCGAGTTCAAGGCTTTCTATGAGAATCAATGGGGCAAGCACTTGAAGTGTATACGGTCGGATAACGGGACGGAGTTTGTCAACAAGAAGATTGCCCATATATGCGCCCGTAATGGTATCATGCACCAGCGGACAGTACCATATAGTCCGCAACAGAACGGTGTAGCGGAACGCATGAATCGCACGATTGTGGAGAAGGCAAGGAGCATGCTGTACTACAAGGGTATCGACATGCAGTGGTGGGCAGAGGCGGTCAGTACGGCTGTGTACTTGATCAACAGATCCACAAACTCTGCAAATTCGGACGTAACACCGTTCGAGGTTGGTTTCAAGATGAAGCCGAGTATTGAGCATTTGCGTGTGTTTGGATCGCAAGGGTATGCTCACATTGACGACGCCAAGAGGACGAAGCTCGAACCAAAGAGTTACCGGTGTATGTTCCTCGGATATGCGGAGAACACCAAGGGATACAGGGTGTTCAATCTGGAAAGGTCGAAGGTTGTCATATCGCGCTCCGTAAAGCTGGACGAGCGGGAAGTTGAAGGCATATACGACACGGTGGTACCAGATAAAGTACCAGTCGTCAAGTATATTAGGGACACTGATGAAGCAGTGATTCCGGTGGTTCGTCCGTATGATGGAGACGAGACGATGGAAGATGTCGAAGAAAGCGCTCCTGATGTCGAGATGGACGAGATAGAATCGGCTCCATTTGAAACAGGTATCATCATACCTCAAGTACTCGATCCAGAAACTCAAGAACCAAGAGGCGATGAGATAACGGGATATCAAGCTCCGAGACAAGCTTTTCAGGAGGACAGGTTGGTATTTCAGCCGGAGATAAATCGGACAAGACGCTCACGAGACAGAATGCTGCTGCTTGAGAATGGGAATAGCAGTGAAGACACGTCAGAAGGTAGCGATGGACCACCTTCTCCAAAGCGTGCAAGAATTGATGACGAAGGTCTCATTGCAGAGGCTGTATTAGCCTATGCTGCAAGCGTTGGCGAGGCGGACGACGCTCCATCCACATACAGCCAAGCGTTATAAGGCGAAGACAACAGCAAGTGGATTCAAGCGATGCAAGCGGAGCTCAAGGCGCACGCCGATAACGGGTCCTGGACACTGGTACCAAAACGGCAAGACATTCGACCAATCGGGTGCAGATGGATATTTGCTAAGAAGCGAAACGAACACGGACAAGTGGTGCGCTACAAAGCTCGACTCGTCGCAAAGGGGTTCAAGCAGAAATTCGGTGTCGACTTCTTCGAGACGTACTCTCCCGTGGCAAACATGAACTCGATCAGGGTTGTGCTAGCTGTGGTGGTGACAAAGGGATACGTCACTGAGCAGCTGGACGTAGACACGGCGTTCTTGAACAGTGATCTCAAGGAAGAGGTGTACATGGAAGTGCCAAATGGCATAGCTAATGCGGAGAAGATGATGTGCAAGTTGGACAAGGCAATCTACGGTCTCAAGCAGGCTGCAAGTGCGTGGAACAAGACAATCCATGCTGTATTCTTACAGATCGGATTTCGTAGCAGCGGAGCAGATCAGTGTATCTACGTCAAGAATCAAGATGACAACTATGTCTATGTTTGTCTCTACGTCGACGACATGATCATCGCCGCCAAGACCAGCAGGGAGATTCAAGAGGTCAAGACAGCACTCAAGAGCTCATTTCGTATGAAGGAGCTAGGCAAGGCTAAATTTATTCTTGGCGTGGAGATTGATCATGACCACAACTGCAGTAAGCTGATGATTCGACAGACTCGATACATCGATGATGTGGCCAGCCGTTTTAATCAAGAGGACGCAAAGGCAGTGGTCAACCCATGCGAGTCCGGCCTGAAGCTGTCAAAGAAGCAATCCCCAACGACGGATGTCGATAGAGCAGAAATGCAGTCAAAGCCGTACAGGTCGCTGATCGGATGTTTGCTATACATCACGACATGTACGCGCCCAGATGTGATGTATGTCATCACGCAGTTATCAAGGTTTTTGGAGAATCCAGGTCAGCAACATTGGAAGGCAGCCATTCGTGTTCTTCGGTATCTCAAGACGACAAGAGACTACGGAATAATCTACGACGGCAGCGCTAGCGAAGTAACAGCTACAGCGTATACGGACGCGGACTGGGGTAGCAACATCGATGATCGACGCTCCGTGTCAGGGATAATGGTGATCATCGGTGGCGCACCAGCCATATACAAGTCCAAGTATCAACGCACGGTGGCTCTAAGCTCTGCTGAGGCAGAGTACATGGCTTTAAGCCTGTGTACACAGGAAGTGTTATAGGTTCGTGCGCTGCTTAAGGATCTAGGTCACGAGCAAGTGGGAGCAACGTGGGTCTGGGAAGACAATCAAGGAGCAATTGGGCTTGCCAGCAATGCCGGCTACAATGCCAGAACCAAGCACGTTGACATTCGTCACCACTTCATCCGGGAGAATGTGGCCCACGATATCATCGTGGTCAAGTACATCTCCACCATGGACCAATTGGCCGACATGCTAACGAAGGCTCTGGGGACCAAGCGACTGAACTATTTGATACAAGCAAGCTGCATTGGACCCAAGGGCATTTAGCAATAGCGGTGAGTGGGAGTGTTAACATAGCACCGTCTACTGCTTTTTATGTTCATGGATAGGTTTGGAAGAATCGAGAAGGACTGGCTGAGAAGAAGCACAGCATGACATCATCGGGTGACGTCACAAGGAGAGCTTCTTAGACCTTCTGGAAGATCTTGAGAAGATCGAAGGGTGTTGATTGGTCTAGATAAACCAGTGAACCTTCTAGAAGATCTTGAGAAGATCGAAGGGTGTTCATTGGTCTAGCTAAATCAGTGGGACTGATATAGTTTGTCTAAGTATAGGAAATGAGTGGCTTAGAGGTAGCAAAGCAAGTTTGCGAACTAAGGACCATAAATATATTCACTTCACAATTTGCCTTCGCCTGCGCACATCAACATCAACATAAATGCACAATTCAGTACAAGCGACTCCAACGCCAATTCGCCGCTGAACTAACGACACTGAGCACGTCGAGCGTAAGAATGCATCTTTCTATCATGCAACCACGATCTTTACTCGGAGTCCGATCCGGAACAGTCGGATTTACGAAGTTCGGTTCAAAATGGGGCGACCGACCTGCCAATTCGATCAAGGTGAACGACTGTATTTACCAATCTCTCCCATCCACTGGCTAGTTATCAGGCACAATCACTTCCACCACATTCAGCCGCATTACGAATGTAGCCATCAGGTTGTCTGCAGAACACGACTAAGGACCGATGGAATGAGCCGAAAAGCTTGACAAACACGTAGGCGAAACCTTTTGCGCCATGAATTACAGCGTGAAAATAGGTCAAAAGTTTCAAGTAATCTAGGACACAAACTTGTCTTACCAGGCTCGAAGCCGAGTCGACATCTCGCAACTCTGATCAGAACCGATTCTGATTAAAGTGCGAGCCGCGTACCGCTTGAACCGATACGAAGCCGGTCCATTCGGGTCGGTAAATCCAATTGCCATGTGTAGTGGCCGTAATCACAATGCTGTGCACGATCGTGCAAGAGCGATTCCGTTTTATGAACCACCGTAAACAACGTTCGCAGCCGACACGGGATCCAATAAGCGAGGCTTGAATCAGACACGCAGAATTTTAGCTGCTCTGCCAATCCTGACGACTCAATCAGGATGATGCTTGTCACCAATAAAGTACGCCTTGGAGAATCGTCATCGCATTACGTCACCAGGATCCGGAAGAGGAGCAGACTGTGAAGTTCACCCTATGGTATTTGTATTTTAGTCTAGCAAATTGAATCAAGTTCGGTTTATATGCGTACCCATTTCGGGTGGTTAGCGGCCGGGAACGGGTCGTGCGTTCGGATGTCAAAACGATTGTGTTGTTGTACTATTGTGTATTTCAAGTACTCGTTGGTGTTTTTGATGCATTAAATCGAATGATGATCCAACGATGATGAAGAATTCTCCTGGCCAGCAACGCCGAACACAGCAAAGTGCGACCGTAGACATGAATTGGTTGATGAAGTAAGATAATTGGTGTAGCTATCTCTGCCACCGAGCGAGGAAGGACATCATAAGTTCTTGCTTCGTTTCACCAATACTGCCACTAAAATAGCCGCAGATTTACTTTTTCCGGAAGTGCGACGGTTTGCTACCTCAGAGCATCGAGCATTAGCTGCTAGCCACCACGTGCGGCATTGGTGTGTGTGACTAGCCTTTCCTACGCGGTTGCAATGAGTGACCTTGCACAGAGTTATCGATAATGCGTATCTACCTGTTAAAAGAAGTTATGCTACATCGCAAAGTACAACTTGTAAGGTCCACCTAGCGTTGATTACTGACACATACATAGGCACGGAAAGACAGACAGACTGACAAAAAGTAGGTTTTCCAAAGTTCAGTATGCAGCATCTTGTACCCAGCTACTGATAGCTTCACCTTCTGGGCTTGCAACAAGCAATTCAGTAATGGGAGACTTAAATCATGTACGCAATACCTCGTACCTGATTCGAATTATATCATAGAAATTAGTGACCGGGTGAGAAATTATGTAACGGGGTGAATCGTTACATAACAATTTATAAGAAATTGCTAATAGAATATAACTATAAGAGTTATATTCTCAGAATATTGTCGTAAGGACAAATATTCTGTAGCACTTACGAGTAGTTCCTAATTGGTTGATATAGGCCATTATATCAACCAACGAAGACGCGCCACGACAGACGCACGCAATGAGTGGTGAGCAGATAGTTGATATGCACATTTGTATTCAGACATAGTTAGATGAAGATGAATAGTGATTTATTGCAGACATTAACTATTATAAATGCAGTTCTACTTTTTACTTTAACCAAGTACTCGCTTCTTCTTCTTACCGTCTTCCTCTGCACGTACGAGTGTACGTGAAGTTACGAGGCACCGCCTTATTCTGTCATCAGAATAAGTAGCTTGTACTGTCACCAGTACAAGCTTCAAGGTGCCACGTTACACCTGGTAGCACTTAGTAGTCCGTCCAAGGACCGCGTTCACATCTAACATGAATATGTTAGATGATGAAGATGACCAAAGCTTTCACGCTACGCGTGACGGCTACTCCCATTTGAGCGATGTCGAATGGGATGCGGTTGAACGAATGGGTTCGACCATGGGCATCCATGCTGTTAGCGTCATGCTAGAGGCTCTCAATAGAGAAGCCCAACATGCTACTATCGCCAAGTTCAATCAAAATGAACTTGACGCAGAACGCGAGAAAGTAGCCTTGCTTCACCAACAAGGTTCTCAACAAGCAGAGTTGTTGAGAGAACAGGGTGCTCAACAGTTTGAACTGTTGAGACAGCAGCAGGCTGCTGCTGGTGGGTCGATGCATTCGCGTCGACCCGAAACCTTGAAGATTGACATTTCCAAGTATAGGGGGGTCGAAGAAGACTCCCTCTTGATATGGTTCGTCGAATTGGATGACGCCATAAGGGCGCGTCGCATCGACCACGGGGATATGCAAGTAGCATTTGCCCAGTCAAATCTGGCAGGACGTGCCAAGACTTGGGCACTGGGGCTCAAGTTGCACGACCCATATGCGTTTGGGTCGTTGGAAGTCTTCATGTCGCGGCTCAGACAAACTTTTGAACCGCCTAGAGCTGAGTTCAGAGCTCGAACCGAACTCTTGAAGCTGAAGCAGGGTAAGCGTGATGTACACGCTTACGCGCAACATATACGACATCTCACGAGTTTTATAAGTTCCAATCCGGTGGATGAACACACGTTGGTTTCGGTATTCATGCAGGGTCTTGCGGATGGTCCCGTCAAGACTCACCTGTTCCGGCTTGAACTAGATTCACTAGAACAAGCAATTTCCATTGCGGAACAGGAAGACTTCAGTTTGAGACAGGCTCGCGCCAGCTCGACATCATATCGTCAACCGAGACGATATGACAACGGGGGTCCAGAGCCGATGGAACTCTGTTATGTAGAGAGCGAGAAGGATCGCTCTACAGACTACAAGAAGTTGCAGAAATGCAACAGATGTCAGAAGACAGGAAACTACGCTTACGAGTGTAGTGCCCCTCGTCCAGTGCCTCGCGACACTGGGCGTAGTGACCGTCCACCCATGAGAAAATGGGCAGGGACGCGGGTCCGCTGTTGGTGCAAAGACGCAACAACGGGATGGACCGCAAAAAACGGACAGGATCAGTAGGTGCGGAGCACCCTACTGGTCCAGCAACGTCAAGAGAATTTGTAGGCCTCTTGATGAAGGTTGCTCCCAACACACAAACGTTGTGCGTTGCTGCTCTAGGTAATGAGATCTCACTCATTACCTTGAAACTCGAAGTGACAAATAAGTTGTCCCTTCGAGCTCTAGTCGATTTTGGGGCGTCCAACAATTTTGTGCGACGCCAATCGCTATAAGATGGTCATTTTAAATTCAGTGAATGTGACACACATCTTACGAGGATGACGGTACGTCTTGCGACAGGCGCATCCGTAACCGTCATGAAGCGTATAGTGAAGATCCACTATACGCTAGAGGATACCCAATATGACGATGACTTTATCGTATTGGATTTGGATGACAAATTTGATGTCATCCTTTGGAATACCGTGGCTCAGAAGGTACGAACCACGGGTAAACTGGCAACATCGGACAGTAACGATGCCTGCCGCTTTTTCATCAGATGGCCATCTGATGAACGTTTTGGAGCGTCCACAAGCGTGTGGATGTACTACGAGTGAGTGCGATGGCCTCACTTGTGGTACGGTCGTTAGTACGACTGCACAAAACCTTAGTGTACCAAACGGTTACACTTCGGAGCAAAGTTCCGGCGGCTGTGAGGAAACACAGGCTGCGCCGAAGGTCCACCACTCGAATAAGTCGGGTGGACTGGGACAAAGATGTATCCCTAGCGGGGAACATCTAGAAGAGAAACAATCGATCGCTCAGGTTAAGCGAAACGATAATCCTAGATCGACTGGAGAGTCTTTCGTAGAGGATCTCGCTGTGGTTGCGCAACCCCAGCTAGAGGAAGTAAAGGGAATAAGTCCCAAGATTACAAATACGGCGGAAATAAGTTCCCCGAAACCCGCGGGAATAAGTCCCCGGGAAGCCGAAGGAATAAGTCCTTCGAGGCCTGAGGGAATAAGTCCCCAGGAAATGATAGATACATTGAATGTCATAGTCAATGACGGATCAAGCGAAGGCGCTTATACACTTGACCTGATTGCGCCTCCGAAGTTGACTTCGGAGATCACTCAGTTGCCAACGCTCGAACATAAAAGGTTCTTGCATGATCTAAGTAGTGGCAAAGTCAAGCAGATCTGCGTACTCGTCGCTGACGACGAGTGTGTAGCCGACATAAGGTCAGCAACAGTGTTTACTGAGAATGAGAGAGTTCTCAGTAGTTCATCTATGGACGAGAGTGTCCTAGATGAAAAGACACGAAGTGAGCGATATGACTCCCAATCGTGGGAATCGCTCAAGACAAATCCTCTCTATGAAGATTTGGTTGAATTCAAGGATGTATTCCCTGAAACTGTTCCGTGCGAATTACCAAAGGATAAAGGTATTCGACACGAGGTCGAGCTTAAACCAGGCTCGAAGTACTGTGTCATGGAGCAGTGGCCACTACCTCGTGAACAAGTACTTGCGATCGACAAGTTCTTTGCCGATCGTTTAGCTGCGAGCCATGTGAGGGAATCAACTTCCCCACATAGCTCTCCGACCTTCTGTGTGCGAAAAGCAACAGGAGTGTGGCGGATAGTGCATGCATCTAACAAGTTGAATGATGCAACGGTACCGGCTCAGACGCCGATACCGAGGAAGGACGTAATCATTGATGGTTTGTCAAAGAGTACCATCTTTTCGTCCATGGATTTAATGGATGGCTTCTATCAAATCCTTATGCGAGAACGGGATATACCCTATACCGCAGTTAGCACGCCTAGCGGCATGCTCTGGGAATGGCTAGTAATGCCACAAGGGCTTAGTAATGCCCCTGCCACGTTCAACAGATGTGTATCACATCTGTTGAGACCAGTACGAGAATTCGCGCCGGGTTATTTCGATGACGTATTCATCCATAGTCGAGCTATGGATGGAAAGTCGGACGTTGAGGTTCACAGGTACCACGTCCGACAGGTTCTTACAATCATGCGAAAGCATCAATTGTATGCAAACCTCAAGAAGTGTATATTTGCAGCAAGCGAAATACCACTTCTTGGGTGCATCGTTGGTAAGAACGGTGTACGTCCTGATCCCGAAAGGATCAAGGCGATCACCAACTGGCCTGTGCCGGTTGATGTCAAAGGTCTTCGAAAATTCCTTGGGCTAGCGGCGTATTTGCATAAGTATTCACGCAATTACGCCGAGATGACTGTACACCTCTCTCGTTTGTTGAAAAAGAACCAGAGGTGGTTTTGGAACGCTGAATGTCAGCGCTCCTTTGAGGGTATCAAGCAGAGCTTGATACAATCCCCAGTCCTAGCAATAGCCGATCAGGACAGGCCATTTCATGTGGTCTGTGATGCCAGCGATTTCGCAATCGGCTGTGCATTAATGCAGTACGATCCTGAAGGCGTTGAACGCGTCGTCTGCTATTAGTCGCGTCAGCTGCAACCAGCTGAGCGGAACTATCCAGTGCATGACAAGGAACTCCTTGCCATGAAGTATGCACTCGCGAAGTTCAGAGTCTATCTATTAGGAGCTAGACCCTTCATTGTTTACACTGACCATGCGTCATTACGCACGGCAGTGAACAGCCCGCACCTTTCACAACGAATGGCGCGGTGGTTGTCATTCTTTGCGGAATACGACTTTACGGTCGAGTACAAACCAGGACGACTTAATGTCGTCGCTGATGCACTCTCACGTCGTCCCGACTTTGAAACAGTCGCGAAACCCAACAGTGAGACAGCCACTGTTGCGGTTATGACGTCCTCAGTCCCATCTACAACGTTGTATGATGATGTGAGGCGGGCAGACGCCCAAGATGGTGAGATTGTGAAGTTGTTGACACATCTCTCACAACCATCTCGAGAATCATTGAAACGATTGTCGTCTGCGTATCGATCTGCATCAGATCGATACACTACTCGTAACGGTTTACTGTACTATACAGCCGTTTCTGGTGACACACCACGTGTTGTCATTCCAGATGATACTGATCTGCCTTTGCGGATCATGTTCGAGTATCACGATGCTCCTATAGGAGGACATCGTGGCCGAGAGAAAACATATCTCACGGTGAGTCGAGACTTTTACTGGCCCCGCCAGTATCAGTTTGTGCGAAAGTATGTTCGCGCATGCGAAGTCTGCCAACGAGTGAAGTCAAGTCCTTCACTGCGTGCACCTTTACAGCCTCTACCGGTTCCAGCTGAGGGCTGGGAATCGATCTCAATGGATTTTGTCTTCGGGTTACCCAAAGACGCACACGGGAATACGGGTATTCTCGCATTTGTTGACAGATTCAGCAACATGGTACACCTTGTTGCTGTACCAGAGACAATCACGGCAAGTGGCTGTGCTTGTGTCTTTATCGACACCATCTTCCGACTTCATGGGTTGCCCCGTGAACTCGTTTCAGACAGAGATCCACGATTCACTGCTGATTTCTGGCGTTCCGTGTTCAAATCACTCGGAACGCGCTTGAAGATGTCGACATCTGATCATCCAGAGTCAGATGGTCAGACAGAACGTGCCAATCGTGTTTTCGAAGAGATACTTCGAGGATACGTACACTCCTTTAATAGTTGGAGTGAGTTTTTGCCAATGGTAGAGTTTGCCATCAACAACTCGGTGCATGCGTCCACGACACATACACCGTTTTACGTGAATGGCTTGCGCCATCCGCGTGTACCCACCTTACTAGAGTGTAACTCTGGTTCAAGGGGGGGAGGGACTCGCGCGAGCAAAAACCGATTTGGTTCACGCTCATCACGCTCTGACGAAGAAGTCATTGCGTTTGATGCCGATATCGATAACATCGATATCGAAGTAGATGATGCCAGTGAGAGTGCGGAAGCCCTCACTGAAGAAAAGGTTGATGTTGCTGCAGTGCGCTCACAGCGCACTGAAGCTAACGAGTCATCAGATGAGTTCATACTGGCTCGTGAAACGGTAGTCCGTTTTGTGCAAGACTCCATCGCCGAAGCGGTGGATAAGCAAAAGCAAAACGCTGACAAGAATGGAAGGGCAAACACTCTTTTATTTAATAAAGGTGACTTAGTCCTACTGTCTACGGTTAATCTACCAAAACATGTAGTGACTAACTTGGGTAGCAGTAAACTACTACCCAAGTACATCGGCCCATTTCGTGTGTTGCACCGCCTAGGCAATGCATGCACGATCGAACTGCAACGTAAGATGCGAACGCATCCCACGTTTTACGTTGGTCGGCTTAAGCCGTACCATCAGTACGCTGCTTCTTCCGATGAAGAACGCCCTTGCGCTCAAGCATCTCGCAGAGAGCCTTGTGCTCCCGATGGTGGGCATCAACAAGGGTCTGAAGAGCAGCTATCTCATCCCGAGACCGATCAACAATCCCACGAGCTACCCTTAGCTCGTCACGAAGAGATGTCAGAGATCTCTCGTTCTCAAGCTGAGCAAAGGCAAACTCAGCTCGATGCTTCGAGACAGTGTCCGCCATTTGGAGACGCCTGTCCCGCTCATGTTCGAGATCGTCGCGTAACCCTTGCGTTACGCGATCAAAGAAGCTCTCGGGAACACATTGATCCCCATGATCGTGTGGAGAGCGTCTTTCCTCCTCCTCCACCTCCATTAGAGGACTCTCGCGGTGGCCAGCGCTATCTTGTTGAGCAGCTGTTGAACCACCGCGACGCGAACGGACGTCGGACGAGTTATCTCGTCCGGTGGCGCGGCTATCCCCCGTCCTGGATTTTCTTGGGAGCCCCGCTCCCAACTGATGATCGACGTACTGGGTCTGGTTGAGCAGTACGACGCGGCACATCCTGTGCCGCAGAAGGACCGCTGGAGAAAGTCTTCCCGGCACGGTCGTAAAGGGATTTCAGGTTGTCAATCCCTTCGTACATCTCAGTAGAGATACGTACGCGCCACCACGGGCTAGTAAGGAGGTAGGCCTCCTTAGGTGCTCGTGCAGAGTTGTTCACACAACATGGGCACGAGTCTCCCCAAGAGAGGCAGGGTAATCCTTTCTCCCTTGACAGACGATGCAGCTTGTAGCGTGCACCTGTCGGGGTTCGCTTTTCAAACTTATCACGAGCTTTGATAAGTTTGTCGTTCCAAGCGTCACGAACTACATCCTCAAGGTTATGGATGTAGGCGTACCACGCCTGAAGCAGTGAGGGACCATCACGTTTGTGATTCCCACTGTACCATCGGTGTCTAAAGAAAGCATCGATGAAGAACTCATGTTCAGCGCGATAGTCTTTCGCGCTGGGGTCAAGGTGATGGATCCTTGACGAATCGAACAATCGTGTTCGATAACGATCACTCGTCGTCGCCGACAAGTGATCCATGACGGATTTTGGAGGCATCCATGCCTTCTTTTCAGGAGCGAGACGCAACACATTGCGGTCCCGCTCTTCCTGCGACGTGCCGACAGAAGTACTGGCACCTCGCTGTGAAGTGGTGTCCATAGGAGAACCGACACCACTGTTAGCGCCCGAGTCTCGCGACCTCGAGCGCCTACGCTTCGGCGATGGTTCATCTGATTCATCAGATGAACCAAAGATGCTGCGACGCAAAGCATCATCCATGCCACGCTTGGCAGGCGGCTTAGATTCGATCGCCGTCGATACGGATCCGTCTTCCGTATCAGGAGAGTACGAGACACCGAGCTCGTACTCTGTGAAGACATGAGTATCTTCATGACCAGCACCTGCATCACCAAGTGACACAGGCTGGGTCGATTCAGCAACCGATGAGACATCAGTTGCTGTAGTTTCTGCTTCGGCGTCCGCACAGAGACGTGCGGACGCGCTCTCGGCGGCCTTGCTCGCGCATCGCATGGGCTTGTTAACCATCGGATGAAATGTTGGGAAGTGGACGCGGACCAACAAGTGCAAACCCTGTCCCAAATGATTTGGGACGAGTATCCATTTAGTCAATCAGTCACTAAAGTGACTGATGGTTAAGGGGGGGGTGATGTAACGGGGTGAATCGTTACATAACAATTTATAAGAAATTGTTAATAGAATATAACTATAAGAGTTATATTCTCAGAATATTGTCATAAGGACAAATATTCTGTAGCACTTACGAGTAGTTCCTAATTGGTTGATATAGGCCATTATGTCAACCAACGAAGACGCGCCATGACAGACGCACGCAATGAGTGGTGAGCAGATAATTGATTTACACATTTGTATTTAGACATAGTTAGATGAAGATAAATAGTGATTTATTGCAGACATTAACTATTATAAATGCAGTTCTACTTTTTACTTTAACCAAGAACTCGCTTCTTCTTACCGTCTTCCTCTGCACGTACGAGTGTACGTGAAGTTACGAGGCACCGCCTTATTCTGTCATCAGAATAAGTAGCTTGTACTGTCACCAGTACAAGCTTCAGGGTGCCCCGTTACAAAAACTATCATTGTGTGAGGCATTTTTTGGATTATTGACGAGGGGGTCATGTGATGAAGCACCACCCTTATCGAATCGGGGTAGGCCGTAACATGATGTTGACACCAAACGGTGTCGAAAGGGAGATTGTCTAGCGTGACAATTCCCTACCAATATCATCCGATGTGGATTAAATTGAAGGGATATTATCCCCTTCGTAGGATAATATTCATGCGCTGCTCAAAGATTGGTTGATAAAAGACTTATCAACCATAGATTACCACCAATCGCTGCTAGACGCGCGCAATGAGTGGTGAGCAGGTTGTCGTCATACGACAATGTATATTAAAATCGTTAGATAAAGACTGAAGTTATATTTGTTACGGGGTGAGTCGTTACATAACAATTTATAAGAAATTGCTGATAGAATATAACTATAAGAGTTATATTCTCAGAATATTGTCGTAAGGACAAATATTCTGTAGCACTTACGAGTAGTTCCTAATTGATTGATATAGGTCATTATATCAACCAACGAAGACGCGCCACGACAGACGCACGCAATGAGTGGTGAGCAGATAATTGATATGCACATTTGTATTCACACATAGTTAGATGAAGATAAATAGTGATTTATTGCAGACATTAACTATTATAAATACAGTTCTACTTTTTACTTTAACCAAGTACTCGCTTCTTCTTACCGTCTTCCTCTTCACGTACGAGTGTACGTGAAGCTCCGAGGCACCGCCTTATTCTGTCATCAGAATAAGTAGCTTGTACTGTCACCAGTACAAGCTTCAGGGTGCCCCGTTACACCTGGTAGCACTTCGTAGTCCGTCCAAGGATCACGTTCGCATCTAACATGAATATGTTAGATGATGAAGATGACCAAAGCTTTCACGCTACGCGTGACGGCTACTCCCATTTGAGCGATGTCGAATGGGATGCGGTTGAACGGATGGGTTCAACCATGTGCATCCATGCTGTTAGCGTCATGCTAGAGGCTCTCAATAGAGAAGCCCAACATGCTACTATCGCCAAGTTCAATCAAAATGAACTTGACGCAGAACGCGAGAAAGTAGCCTTGCTTCACCAACAAGGTTCTCAACAAGCAGAGTTGTTGAGAGAACAGGGTGCTCAACAGTTTGAACTGTTGAGACAGCAGCAGGCTGCTGCTGGTGGGTCGATGCATTCGCGTCGACCCGAAACCTTGAAGATTGACATTTCCAAGTATAGGGGAGTCGAAGAGGACTCCCTCTTGATATGGTTCGTCGAATTGGATGACGCCATAAGGGCGCGTCGCATCGACGACGGGGATATGCAAGTTGCATTTGCCCAGTCAAATCTGGTAGGATGTGCCAAGACTTGGGCACTGGGGCTCAAGTTGCACGACCCATATGCGTTTGGGTCGTTGGAAGTCTTCATGTCGCGGCTCAGACAAACGTTTGAACCGCCTAGAGCTGAGTTCAGAGCTCGAACCGAACTCTTGAAGCTGAAGCAGGGTAAGCGTGATGTGCACGCTTACGCGCAACATATACGACATCTCACGAGTTGTATAAGTTCCAGCCCGGTGGATGAACACACGTTGGTTTCGGTGTTCATGCAGGGTCTTGCGGATGGTCCCGTCAAGACTCACCTGTTCCGGCTTGAACTCGATTCACTAGAACAAGCAATTTCCATTGCGGAACAGGAAGACTTCAGTTTGAGACAGGCTCGCGCCAGCTCGACATCATATCGTCAACTGAGACGATATGACAACGGAGGTCCAGAGCCGATGGAACTCTGTTATGTAGAGAGCGAGAAGGCTCGCTCTACAGACTACAAGAAGTTGCAGAAATGCAACAGATGTCAGAAGACAGGAAACTACGCTTACGAGTGTAGTGCCCCTCGTCCAGTGTCTCGCAACACTGGGCGTAGTGACCGTCCACCCATGAGAAAAGGGGCAGGGACGCGGGTCCGCTGTTGGTGCAATGACGCAACAACGGGATGGACCGTAAAAAACGGACAGGATAAGTAGGTGCGGAGCACCCTACTGGTCCAGCAACGTCAAGAGAATTTGTAGGCCTCTTGATGAAGGTTGCTCCCAACACACAAACGTTGTGCGTTGCTGCTCTAGGTAATGAGATCTCACTCATTACCTTGAAACTCGAAGTGACAAATAAGTTGTCCCTTCGAGCTCTAGTCGATTTTGGGGCGTCCAACAATTTTGTGCGACGCCAATCGCTATAAGATGGTCATTTTAAGCTCAGTGAATGTGACACACATCTTACGAGGATGACGGTACGTCTTGCGACAGGCGCATCCGTAACCGTCATGAAGCGTATAGTGAAGATCCACTATACGCTAGAGGATACCCAATATGACGATGACTTTATCGTATTGGATTTGGATGACAAATTTGATGTCATCCTTTGGAATACCGTGGCTCAGAAGGTACGAACCACGGGTAAACTGGCAACATCGGACAGTAACGATGCCTGCCGCTTTTTCATCAGATGGCCATCTGATGAACGTTTTGGAGCGTCCACAAGCGTGTGGATGTACTACGAGTGAGTGCGATGGCCTCACTTGTGGTACGGTCGTTAGTACGACTGCACAAAACCTTAGTGTACCAAACGGTTACACTTCGGAGCAAAGTTCCGGCGGCTGTGAGGAAACACAGGCTGCGCCGAAGGTCCACCACTCGAACAAGTCGAGTGGACTGGGACAAAGATGTATCCCTAGCGGGGAACATCTAGAAGAGAAACAATCGATCGCTCAGGTTAAGCGAAACGATAATCCTAGATCGACTGGAGAGTCTTTCGTAGAGGATCTCGCTGTGGTTGCGCAACCCCAGCTAGAGGAAGTAAAGGGAATAAGTCCCAAGATTACAAATACGGCGGAAATAAGTTCCCCGAAACCCGCGGGAATACATCCCCGGGAAGCCGAAGGAATAAGTCCTTCGAGGCCTGAGGGAATAAGTCCCCAGGAAATGATAGATACATTGAATGTCATAGTCAATGACGGATCAAGCGAAGGCGCTTATACACTTGACCTGATTGCGCCTCCGAAGTTGACTTCGGAGATCACTCAGTTGCCAACGCTCGAACATAAAAGGTTCTTGCATGATCTAAGTAGTGGCAAAGTCAAGCAGATCTGCGTACTCGTCGCTGACGACGAGTGCGTAGTCGACATAAGGTCAGCAACAGTGTTTACTGAGAATGAGAGAGTTCTCAGTAGTTCATCTATGGACGAGAGTGTCCTAGATGAAAAGACACGAATTGAGCGATATGACTCCCAATCGTGGGAATCGCTCAAGACAAATCCTCTCTATGAAGATTTGGTTGAATTCAAGGATGTATTCCCTGAAACTGTTCTGTGCGAATTACCGAAGGATTAAGGTATTCGACACGAGGTCGAGCTTAAACCAGGCTCGAAGTACTGTGTCATGGAGCAGTGGCCACTACCTCGTGAACAAGTACTTGCGATCGACAAGTTCTTTGCCGATCGTTTAGCTGCGAGCCATGTGAGGGAATCAACTTCCCCACATAGCTCTCCGACCTTCTGTGTGCGAAAAGCAACAGGAGTGTGGCGGATAGTGCATGCATCTAACAAGTTGAATGATGCAACGGTACCGGCTCAGACGCCGATACCGAGGAAGGACGTAATCATTGATGGTTTGTCAAAGAGTACCATCTTTTCGTCCATGGATTTAATGGATGGCTTCTATCAAATCCTTATGCGAGAACGGGATATACCCTATACCGCAGTTAGCACGCCTAGCGGCATGCTTTGGGAATGACTAGTAATGCCACAAGGGCTTAGTAATGCCCCTGCCACGTTCAACAGATGTGTATCACATCTGTTGAGACCAGTACGAGAATTCGCGCCGATTTATTTCGATGACGTATTCATCCATAGTCGAGCTATGGATGGAAAGTCGGACGTTGAGGTTCACAGGTACCACGTCCGACAGGTTCTTACAATCATGCGAAAGCATCAATTGTATGCAAACCTCAAGAAGTGTATATTTGCAGCAAGCGAAATACCATTTCTTGGGTGCATCGTTGGTAAGAACGGTGTACGTCCTGATCCCGAAAAGATCAAGGCGATCACCAACTGGCCTGTGCCGGTTGATGTCAAAGGTCTTCGAAAATTCCTTGGGCTAGCGGCGTATTTGCATAAGTATTCACGCAATTACGCCGAGATGACTGTACACCTCTCTCGTTTGTTGAAAAAGAACGAGAGGTGGTCATGGAGCGCTGAATGTCAACGCTCTTTCGAAGCATTCAAGAAATGCTTGATACAATCGCCTTTGTTGGCGAATGCAGACCAGGACAGACCATTCCATGTGGTCTGTGATGCCAGCGATTTTGCAATCGGCTGTGCATTAATGCAGTAGGACTCCGACGGCGTTGAGCGCATCGTCTGTTATCAATCGCATCAGCTGCAAGCAGCTGATCGTAATACCCAGTGTATAACAAGGAACTCCTTGCCATGAAACACGCACTGGCCAAGTTCCGGCTATTTCTCTTAGGAGATATGCCCTTCATCGTTTATGCCGACCATGCGTCATTACGCACGGCCGTAAACAGTCCACACCTCGCGCAACGAATGGCGAGGTGGCTGTCTTTCTTCGCGGAGCACAACTTCTCCATCAAGAATAAACCAGGACGACTTAATGTCGTCGCTGATGCTCTTTCGCGTCGTCCCGATTTTTAGCCGACTGCTCAACCTAACCGTAGGAATAATCCCACTGTTTCAACACTAACATTGAGTGTTCCGTCGTCGAATCTACTTGACGACGTGCGGAAAGCATACGCAGAAGATAAGTATTTCTGTGATTGATGGGTTACGTGTCTGATCCGTGCAGTCAAGCTTTGAAAAGCTTGACGTCTCAATACCGCTACTCAACTAAACGGTATTCGGTTCGTGACGGACTGCTGTACTATACAGCAGTCAGCGGCGACACGCCTCGTGTCGTCGTTCCCGCTCATGATGATTTGCGTTTGCGCATCATGTACTAGTTTCACGATGCCCCAACAAGTGGGTATCGCTGTAGAGAAAAGACTTACCTCACGTTAAGTCGAGACTTCTACTGGTCACGCCAGTATGAGCTTGTGCGCAAATACATTCGCGCTTGCGAAGATTGCCGACAAGTGAAGTTCAGTCCTTCATCCCGCGCACCCTTGCAGCCTCTCTCGATTCCGGCAGAGTGTTGGCAGTCCGCATCGATGGACTTCGTCTCCGGGTTTCCTAAAAACGCTCACAAAAATACTGGTATTCTTGTGAAGGTTAATCGGTTCAGCAAGATGGTACATCTTGTTGCTGTACCGGAGTCAATCACAGCCCAGGGCTGTGCGCGTGTCTTCATCGATACAATCTTCCGACTTCACGGATTACCCCGTAAACTCGTGTCTAATAGGGACCCCGCTTCACAGCCGAGGTCTAGCAATCCGTGTTCCGTTCACTTAAAACACGTTTGAAGATATCAATTTCCGACCATCCAGAAACAGATGGTCAGACGGAACGCTTCGATCGCGTTCTCGAAGAGATACTGCGAAGTGAGGTCCACTCGTTTACGAGTTGGAGTGAGTTCTTACCGATGGCAGAATTCGCCATCAACAACTCGGTGCATGCGCCGACAACGCATACACCTTTCTTCGTGAATGGCCTACGCCATCCATGTTTGCCAGCCTTTTTGGAGTGTGACTTTAGTTTAGGGGGGGTGGAATCGCTCGAACAAAAATCGATCTGGTTCTTGCTCATCACCCGTCGACAATGGTGTCGACGTAATGGATGCCGATCTGTATGCGATCGACACCGATGACGATGATGATAACTATGCTGGCATATTTAGCATCGCCAATGACTGCCACAGTGAGGACGATGATGCCCTCAATGATGAAGACAACGCTCTTTCAGCATTGCACACGAAGCGCACTGATGTTAACAAGGATGAAACAGCAGGGGGATTTCTGCTGACTCGCGAAGCGGTTGTCCGCTTCGTTCAAGATTCTATTGTAGACGCAATAGACAAGCAGAAACGAAACGCAGATAAACATGTAAGAGCAAATGTTCTTTCATTTGAAATAGGAGACCTAGTTTTACTGTCTACAGTAAATCTACCGAAAAACGCAGTGACAAACGTGGGTAGCAGTACATTACTGCCCGGGTATATCGGTCCATTTCGTGTGTTGCGCCGAATCGGCAACACATACACGATTGAACTACTCCGTAAGATGTGTACAAATCCGACGTTTTACGTTGGACGTCTCCGCCCGTACTATCAGTAAGAGGTCGTTTCGAGATGCGAAGAACACCTCCGCGGTCGAGAGCCGGGACCACCTTCGAGTGGTCTCATTTTACCGAGAGGTTTGACGCCGATCCTGACTTCCGTAGATTTACCGGCGGGTATCGCAATATGTTGATCGTTAAGGTTAATCGCTCATACGTTCGATCGGTATGGTGGTCTCCGTCCAGCCAAACCGATCCTAACTTCATCTGGTAAGCACAGGGTTCCGATGGCTAGATCTGAACGGGTGCCTGCCAAGACCATGATATCCGTACCTATTATGGCTTCTTGACCAACCTGATCACCAACCCAGACATCAAAATAGTATACCAGTGATCCGTCCAGTGTGATCTTGACCTTGATCCAACCCATCTTCATAGAGGCACTCTCCCCGATCCCAACACATTCTTGCGTCCGGCTCTCGTCGATCACACATCCTACCTTTTGAGAAAAGATTGTGTCGACGATCGAGATTTTTGCTCCAGAATCGAACAGCATAGTAGCCTTCTCATTGTTGATCTTACCTACTGCTTTTGCTAGCTTAAACCACTTTCCCAGAGTATGATACGTCCAGTATCCCCTTGACTCCCCTAGGGAAAAATCGAGCTCCATCTTCACAGGTGATCGGGCATAATCGTCCACTCGATTCACACTTGATACAGAAGAAACAAATGCTGAGCGATCACATATATTAGTGATCGGATCGCGCCCATCCTGAACTCCCTGATCCTTCCACTGTTTCTCAAAAAATGCATATATGCATTGCCTAGAATGCTCGGCTCGTGCCAGATCCTAACCTGGCGAGCGTCCTAGTTTAACATCTTCTCCACCTTGAGGAGAAACATCCGCGCTAGTTTGGTAGAAAGATACCACTTGCGGATCGAGTTAAAGACTTCTTCCATGGGGTACTTGCCATTCTCATGCACCTCTCCGCAAGCTGCACATACATAGAAAAATTGATCTGATGGGTGTCCTTTGCGGCCACTATTTTCGCACGTCAGTCTCTGCCAACAATACCCGATCGTCGTGTCTAGTAGATCTTTAATGGGTGCACGCCTTCACATTTTCACTTCGATCACGTCCATCTCTTTCACCCGTGCTCCTATGCTAGGCGCGATGATCGTTGACCGATTTTACTTGATCGAGAGTATTAGTCACACAGAATCGGCGAAGATCCTTGTCTTCATCGGATCCAACGATTCCGACCACGATCGCTGCTTTCGATCCCTCGCAAATCGCCCTCACTGCCCGGGCTGTCATGAATGACGTTTGATTGTGAGGCACGGTCGTCCGCTGATGGAACCTGTTTGATCCCGGCGATGCTTTCACCTAGAGCTTCTCCATCCGTTAACACGCAAAAAGAGTCAATTCCATTTTATCAATTTCCGTCAATATCATTAGAGTCAGCGGTTTCTCTTAATCGCGAGCATCAAGCGTAGCAACACAATGCTCCACATGTTCGCAACGCGTGGCCGCGGTAGCCATTTCTTCTTCTTTCATCGCGATCTTAGCGTGCTTAGCTGCGACATTGAGACGTTGCAGATAATCCAGCTGGGTTTCATCCGACGCTTCCGCGCGAGACAGTACTGTCTGGACAGTGACACACCTTGGCCTCCAAACTAGACCATAAAACAATCCAGCAATCGCTTTCATTTGTGCCGGGTAGATTGGCTCAGTTGGTTGTACCAGTTTCGCGCAGGTCCCGTATACAGATCGCTGAACACCAAACACGTTTCTTCATCAGGAGTCTGATCGCGCAGGAACGCCGACTTGACTTTGTTGATACAGCTTCTGGCTCGATCTTCGTCTCGATCTTTGCCACTGAATTCCTTCAGCTCCGTCATTGCCGACACCCGAATGCGCCGGGGAATTGCACCACCTTCCTGCTGCGTCTCTATGGTGGCCACAATCGCACGCCGCCACTCCTCTTGTCCTGAGTCGTTTAAATCAGCTTCTTTAGGGTCGAAGAACTCCGGTCGACTGATGGGCGATCGCACCGATTCCATCTCCACATCTGGCGTACATGTTTCTCGGACTCTTGCAGGCTTGATCCGTTGGCTTGGGTACATCGCTTGATCTGCCAGTTCCCGCTGATCTTGCTAAAAATGGTTTATGGCCTCAACGAGATATGTCTATAGGTTTCCTTGCCTAGTTGACGCCATTTTTCTTTTAGCGCCAGTGATCATCGATCGCGGTTCGATCTTGATCATCTCCACCCGATCACGCAGATGTGCTCCTTTACTTGGGCCTAAAACATCCGCCGAATTCCAATCGTATCGTCCGAATCCATCTTGGTTTCTACCGAGGCACAATGGGAAGATCCAGTATGGTACCCTCTCGGGACATCGGGGATCGTAGCAGTAGCTTAATCCGTAGATTCGCGCTTATCCGTCAGGATAAGAACTTGTTATATAGCGATCGACACGCGTGGATCACCTAACCTTGGTCGCACTCCAGCAGTTTATCCGCATCGAACATCCCAGCTACGTATCCTGCATCCTGTAGCAGCCGTATGGCCGCGTTGATCCCTTCGAGCGGAATAGTTTCCGCCTTCGGTAGGGATGTTGGACCTTGAATTCCTCCAAGTAGCTTGGTCTTCGGTATCTTTAGCACGGAATCACTCGAAAGCAGATTCTTGAGTGCCTTTCAATGGCATCCCTGCGCCAGTTGATGCAGCTGCCACCCTTCTATCTTCTTATCCATAGCATCGTCCACGAACTTAATCGGTTTGTCAATCATTATCGCACTGCTATCGTGCTTGTACGATCTGGAAGCTCTTTCTTCACTCGAAATGTCTTCACTATCTTCTTCTTCAACAATGCCTGAGTGGGCTTGTGTAGGTTTTGTGAAGTTTTCACTGAAGGGTTTTCACCCAGCGGATCGTACTTCGCATCACGATCAGCGGTGGTCCCCAAAGGGACCTCAGGATGGGTTTAATATTTATCTTCCAGGTCAAAAGTTCGATCTTCCTCTCATTTTCTTTTTATCCGAGCCCCTCTCAAAACTCTGATGATCTGGGGACCCTTTAAATTTACGCGTCTGCAGCAATTCCATTGCCCACAACGCTTCCATCTCAGGTTCAGTCTTGACTTTAACCTCTTCACTCAACGACACTCGGTGAAATCCCGAGTAATTAGAAGATCCGGGCACGCGCACCATTGTGGTGGAGTGGTGATCGCTCATTTCTTGAGACGATCCCGACTCTACGCTAGCGCCCGGACGACCGACTAACGGAGGGGATACTCCGATTACGTGTATATTGCTTTCCTCACCTTGTGCACCCGTCGGTAGGGCGGGCTGCACTCTTCCAGGTAGACTCGTGTCGAGGAAAAACTGACCGTGTTGGAGAAGGGTTTGTGTGATCGGGCGGAAATCTTGGCGTGATCGCTGGGGTACCGGTGGAATATCGGTGGGATTCTGACACAAGTTACCGTGACCTCAACGATATCGTCTTGATCAATGTGTAGGTCCTTGATACGCAAGCCTTCTGAACACTTGATCCGTCTCGCGATCTTTTGCCTTGCCTTTACGTGTCTTGCTGCGTCCGATCGCAGTTGTAGTTACCTGATAATTCTCGAGCGCACCTGGCCAAACAATCCATGTGCGACACTTATATGGACAGGTAACTCGACTTTTTATTCTTCGGGAGGCCAAAGATCCTGCCCGGAAGAGGTTGCGTGCGTCTCATGAAGTAAATTGAATTCTCTTTAATGCTAACCAATTAACCTACAACCTACCCCTCTGCCTTATTCGTATATTCTAACCGGATGCCACGCGTCCCTGTTTCAGGAAGATCGTCCTCTCGTATTGGTGTGGCCCACATCAGGTGTATCGGCAGTCGAATGTTCTTGTAGTCCACCCGATTTATCACCAACACTTTACCTCGGATCGTGATCTTAGGTCCGGATCGTGATCTTAAGCCGGATCGTGATCGCGATCCTAGGTCAGGATCATGATCCTGAGCCAGAATCGTGATTCCTAGGTGAGGGATTACAAATCTTCCCTTGCCCTGTCTCACGATGAATCACGCAATCCAACTGGTCCATTGTTATCTAGCCTTGTCCCCAGTGATATCGATCCTGCTTACTGTGGTAAAGTGCGCTTTTGCCAGCCACCCGTCCTCGTTTGTGTCCACCAATCCTAACGCTTTGGACCGAGCTGAGGTGTACGATCCACCCGACCCCCCGCTCCAACTGAATGGTAAATTCCCTTGTAATCGCTTTGCCACATCTCCGCCATAGCACAAAACGTCTTAAATTCGGTAAAAACTTCAGATTTTGCTGCTAGCAAGTATACATAGACGAACCGACTGTCGTCGGCGATAAATGTAAGTAGGCATAGAGCCCCACCCTTCGATTTCAGTTTCATAGGTCCCACGAGATCGGTGTGGATAATTTCAAGTGTTCGACTTGCTTTGACTTCATTTCTTTAGTATGAATTAACGGGCTGTTTGTCACTTCCCCGCATGCACATCCATCACATACATTGCCATCAGAAACAACAGCATTTGAAATACCATCGTAAGACTTCATCGCTCGCGAGATCTTGTTCGTAGACACATGACCCACGGCAAGCCTTCCATAGTAAACGAGTGTCTTTATCGCAACACTTATCGGCCTTGTGTGCCTCCAATGTGACTCGTTTTTTCGCGTCCCACAAAAAAGCGTTTCCCAATTGTTACATTACTGCTACACTCACGCTTTCGTTCATCAGAACTGCTTGATTGCGCTTAAACTGGACAAGAACGCCTCGGTCCATCAACGCTGCTACGGATGCAAGTTTATTGTCCAGCTAGGCAAACGCAATACCTCCGTAAGCTTGACTGTGCGACCAATCTAGAGTTTAAATCGTACTATGCCGGTTCCTGATACCTTCAACTGCTGTCGATTTGCCACAGTGATGTTATTAGGGTACTTCACTCTTCGAATTCCCCAAATTCAGGTTCATCATCAGTCATATTGCCGACTTGCCCCACTAACCAGCATACAAGTCGAACTCGAAATTTGTCTGTCACTGAATGCCGAAAATATATTTTGCTTACCAGGTGTCAATGGTTTCATGTTCCGTCACTGCGACTTTTGTGTCCGTTCCGTCCACAATCAAAGCGCTGACCTTAAAAAAATACATCAGCCTTTCTTCTTGTATAAGGATAGTAGCGATCTTGATTTTCTTCTTGTACACGGTGTCCTCATTTACCTTGAAGCGTCGATGTTCATTACGCTGGGCATGTGCCTCGAAAGTGTTTTTCTTCTTGTTTCGCTTCTGAATCGTCATACTCCCGGCAAGGCACCTCTTTTGCGTCCAGCAGCATCACGTTTCTGTACGCCTTTTTTCCTCGATGCACACCATATCATCATATTCGGATGATAAACATTCGAAAGCAAAGCCAGCTGTTTGTCATCATTGATACTGCGACCGAAAATTTGAGATCCGGACACAGACCATTAAACTTCTATAGATATTTCATTAGACTCATACTAGTCTCCGCCACATTTCAAGTAACTACTTCCGAAGTTTCACTCGGTTGTTATAAAATTTCTTCGCAAAGAACGTTATTATGCCCCCTAGACCTCAATATCGACCCACTTTCCCGAGATATGTACTGATAGATCGAAAAAAGTAGCTGCACCAGCACAACTAGAGCCTTCATATCGGCGACTTTACATACGGGATTATTTTGCAGCACTTCCGGATCTGACACAGTCAAATGTGATCCAAACGATCCTTGCGCGCGAGTATAATGCGAGGAATAAATTCCCACATAAAGGAGTTATCATTCGAGGGGATGTCATTAAGAGACAATGTATTTGGGCTCATAAACTGTGAAGGAAGCTTAGCTACTTCTCTGTGCTGCAAAATGAAAACTATTAAAAGTTAAACCACTACAACAAATTAATGCATAAATCACCTCATAAACTGATCACTCCATCCAGATCATTCGAAGTCCACTCACTGTCAATGCAAGTTGTCCTTTTTTATGACACGCACATCAGTGTCTTAATTCGTGATTCTCTTCAGGCTTGAAACTGTCGTTGGGAGAAAAGCATCATTTGAGAATACAAGCAATCGAAAGAAGTATAAGAAGAACGCGGAAGGTAAGAAAGGGGGCGTAGACAGCGACCAAATATGAGTTTCAGATGTAACTTACACTACGCATGCGCTGAGAAATCGACTCACCATGCATATGTAAAGTCCAGCCTTTCCCACGCTTAAACGTTTTTTTACTCGTTTTACTCGTTCCATTTTGTTGTAGTTATTCCCGATGCGATGCAGCTTCAGTTGTTCCTTTTATTGTTTTTTCTGCTTCACTTGTTCCGAGTTCATTATTATAGCTGCTTCTAAACTGACAAAAACGATGATCATCTATCCATCTGTCCTCGACCGACACGCACAAAACACCAAAAATAGGTAAAAATGCGATTTGCGTACTGGCAGCCACACTGGCTGTAAAGTGCTTGTTTACTCGCTGTGGTTTAGCCCTTGCTATCTGGACCATGCAATCGACGCAAACACACTTTTTAAATCTTGTAATTTACTGCAACTAAAAAAGTACCATAAAAATGTGCCCGTGTGGAATTTAGTGCAATACAAAGAGTAGTATCAGAATACCTGTAGAGTCTGCTGGTGGCTCCGCCACTAAACATTATTTCTTACACCATTGCCGCGCTCTTTGAGGCTTGGCTGAACTTAAGAATCTCTACACCGCTACCCACCACGTAACATCAAATCCAATCCAATCCTCTTGATCGACGGTGCATTTGTATGCCACCAATATTGAAGCCACCGCCATCTTTTTTGCATAGATATACATTTTCTATCATCGCTAAGTCGGGGACTTAATGCGCATGGAACTGTGTAGGCTTTAGGAAGCATTATTGCTGTGGCGGAAGTTGGTCACGTGATTTGGATGAGATGCTTTACTCTCTGACACCTGAGCTCGGAGACGGCAAAATGGCAGCACTGGCCGTGAGACTTTTAAGTGAAGATGACTGCCGCAGGACGAACGTCAAGGGTATCTCGAGCGCCCTAATTTTGCTTCAAGGAGCCAAAAGAAAACTGTAAACGACGTTGTCGATGTTCTATAAACTCATCCAATAAGTTCTTGACTTCGATAAACTAGAGGCATTCGAGCATTATGTCGAGGGTGGGCGGCAACCCTGCGCTTCTGAATGCTAAGAATTCGATGTAGAAGCTGCTACTTGCGCACACCGATGTCAACGCAATGGACCGTTTACTAATACCATAAGGAGGTGCGCAATCAGTATACATCCTTACCTCAGCAGTCTTCACGAAACAAGGCGTTAGAACAAAAAACGCAGCATCGGATCTGCTGGACACTGATGCGTAGCTGGGTAGATAATGGATTGTTTGTTGATCAAGAAACGAATTTGCTGACAGGCGCACATTGCCGTTGACAATGGAGCTCACCGCCGTTGAGATACACAATACAATGTGACTCAAATCTTAATCGACACGATCTGCCGGACACAAATGTGCGGTTGTAGATGCTGGAAAGCAGGGTCATTAGAGAAGGAGAAACGCTCTTGGTGGTGGATACCATGGAACGTTCGTATGCGAAGCGCTTGGCGAGTAGCCGAAGCTGGAAGGACAGAAAGTATCTCGACGCGTTGTTATTGCGAAGAAGAAGAGGTGGGCGGGTCAATGTATATGCTTGATCTTAGACGTTAGCATTGACTTTATAGAGAGACTGACGGAGTGCGCAATAGGTTTGACTCTTCTTCTTGTTGCACCTCTGAATGCAGAATTCACTGAGCAACGCATCGTATGCTCTACAGGTCGAGGCGTCACGACCGCGGCACAGCTATAGAAGTGTGTGATAACACTTCAGTAAATTTAACTTGGTTCATGTAGTGTGCTGATCATTTTGTGATGACCATGGAGCTAATCTGCCATGTCCAGTATATCGGCGCCGTCTTTCGAGAATGTCGGATCGCATTATGGCATTCAACAAATTCGTATCTTGCCCTGACTTCCCTGCCTCTTGCGTGATGGAGTGTAGCTTGCTGTCATCTGGTTTTATCAATCGATGCCGTACATATGCTCGCTATCGCTGTCGCCACTAAGGGATGTCAAGGAGTTCAACTGTTTCCCATTCTGGCGTGAGTGCACTTTCGTGACTTGGTTAGTCGGTCTTGTGCGAGGACCAAATTGCGTATAACTACCGCTGACCTTCATAAACATGTCAGCCGTGTGAGCCACGAGTGAACGAACAAGTGTTACAGTCGCGAATGTGTCGAATTTGGTGCTGATTTACGAAAATTGTGCTCGGCCTCGTTAAGAAAAAGCGCCATCAAAGCTGCCCTCTCAATTCCGTTGGACCTGCTGGTCAAGCGTCGAAATGAAGCTTTTTTGCGTTGTCATCACCCTTTTTTCAATGATGGGCGTCATGATATCTGCTTGCATCAGCACTGCGATCGCTTATCAGAATGCCGGCGTACGTGTCACCTCTGCTGTTGCATGAGCTTCCACTATGCTCATGAACTCGCCGTCGTTAATCGTCAAAACACGCTCATTGACTGACTTAACTTGTCATCTTCGTATTCCTTGCATGGAAACAAGAACGCGAATGGAAGTGAGAACCATTGGACCGACCTCGAGCTTTGACGTGAGTGGTACAACAAGAATCATCGCGACCTGTACGTCCACTTCTCCACCTATGCATTTTCAGGCGCGTATTGCCTTACTAATGATGCAACCCCAGACTTGGATGGACATTCCCTGACTGAAGGAAGGCCTGATGGCTTTGTACACGAACGCTGATACGCCCCCAACATCCAGAACTTGCACGCACCGGTTTCGAACCGCTCACCGTCCATGTGATGGCCACATATTGAGTATCTTGTATGTCTACAACAAGTCAGGCTTAGCAAAACAAACACACGATCAGTACGTGGTACGACCATGAGACGCAGAGCTCTTCCAGTACTTCGAATTCTTCGACTGTAGATAGAGCTCATCTCCTTGTGAGCTTCCACAAGCTGCTTGTTACGGTCGCTTACTAAGTCGCTCCCACTTTATTGCATGCTCCGCAGAGAGCTTCTATTCTCTTCATCATTGTGAGCACTGGACATTTGATGGACTGAATAAACAGTACTTTCACCGCATGGGTAACATCTGAAGCTGCTTGTCCGTCGGCTCTTGCAAATTTAGTTTCTTACCATTACTTTCAGTTTCATTGCGAAGGCGGATCGCGGTAATCGTGCGACTCGAAAAGTCAGCAACATAGTGTACACTTACACATTCGACACATGCAATGCAAGGATGTGCTTGTAAGCAACCCGGCGTAACATCTACAGGGGGCTGCTACACAAACGACAAATTGAGATCGAGTTCGCGCCAGACGCAAACATAAAGCACACATGCTTCGAGTACAAGCACTCCGACACATGCGCTCGAGGATAAAAATGATGCGCTTGTCGCCCACAGGTATGCCATCCAGTGATACTTGTACGAGCGTGAGATTGGAGCCAAAAACAGTGCCGAAACTGCCAAGGTGAAGAAGCCTTGCACTGTCGCCGATCACGTGTCAACGAATATTTCGACGTCGGTAGTCCCAAACCCACCATCTTCTAAGTGGATTTAACTTGGCAAGTCCACAAGCTATAGCGATCATCACGGACCACCAGAGATGGCGAAACAAAGAGATCTCCCGCCTTTCACAAAACATATTAACGAGAGACTGTCAAAGCTGAAGAATGCAACAACTCAGTCCACAGCTTGCAAATCTCCACTGTGTAGTCCAGCCTATATTAGCTCATTTGCAGCAGCGGGTGCAGTCCGAGTATCTCCACTCGAAGACATTGTCATTTTGAAAACCAATGATGCACATCCATGTTCATTCATCTTGCTTGAAGGCTCAAACTGACACCTTTCACTCGAAGGTGGACTTAAATATGGCAAGCGCACTTTTCTGTGCTTGCTTCATGCGTCCGTAAAGAGAGACCGACCCTTTTCGCCCACGAACCATTACTTCCGCCTCGTTGGTTAAACTGCCTTGCATCGGATCCTCTAGCAAACCAGGTGCACTGTTTGTATCGTCTTTGCCGATGCTGCGTTCATTGTACTGATGTTTGACCGACTGCACTCGAACCATCGCAGATTGTGGTGAGTTCATGCCCTTGCACCACTTGCGCACAATTTGCGCACGAATACAAGAATGCTCCTTTTCGTCGATCTTCCCACGGAGAAACAAACTCGCCAAATCCTCCAGCTGGTCTTCCATTTTCTCCAAGTCCTCGCCAAAGCTGTGATGCGCTTGTATGACATCTACTCGCTGGTAGCGCTTGCGTTTATCTTTGTTGTCCCCAGCGCTTGGTGTAATTGTCTTACTGCCTCCACTTGTACGCAAAGGGTTGCTAATATACGAAGACAACCCCGACATCCGATTATGGCTGTTGGACTTGCCTGATATTATACTCGATGCCGACAACGTAGATAAACGCTCGGATTTTGAAGGTGACGGCGGCGCACTTGCTGTTCTTCGCTGCTTTGCTTTCGCTTCCTCAAGTTGTTGGCGCATTTCAATCTTCTTAGCCTCAAACGCAGCAAACCGCTCCATCACTTCGTCTTTGTGAATCAAACGGAATTCCTCAACAATGTCAGGCTCCAGTTGATCCATTATAATCAGGCAAAAGTGAAGGAACTTATCCATCTCAACCGTCGTCTTTGTCATTTCTCGCGCAAAATACTCATTGATTGCCAGCAGCACCTCACCTGCGTCCTTAGCATCCAACAGAACTTCTCGGAGGGTAAAAAAAATCGACATGCCAACCCCAAGAAGCACACGTGATGCACGCTGCTTCTCCTTTGTACGTGCCAGTAGCATATCAATCACCTTGAGCCCGCAAAACGATGGAAGCGATGTAAGAAAGCACGTCACGAGCCACTTTGTACAAAGAATCTCCATGTTCAGCCCGAGTTCGTTCAGGTGAGCATGTAGCTCGGGGTCGTTCTGACGCAGCAATGTGTTCATGACCGCGCAGTCAGTATGCAGTCCAATCATCGAGTCAACGTGGTAAGCAGGAAGCAACACTTCGATCAACAAGGTGAGTCCCCGAAGTGCCTGGTCTTCATCCAAGTACTGCAACAGCACCACCAATATTTCGTTCATACCTTGGCAGTACCCCACGCGGCGATTACGATTGGCAAATGCGGTGAGGACTCTTCGCATTGGAACTGTTTGATCTTTTCGCAATTTCCGCGTCCTCGTTATGTCATTTTCGATAGATTTAGCAATTTCCCGGTCTAAAAGCGCCTCGTCGTCTTCGCTCTTTATGTTCGCAAGATTTCGAGGAAGATTTCGCGGTGCGGGAAGCTGGTTGATAAGAATTGGCCACACCCACGATCGGTGTACGTCGGGTACACCACCCATACTGTGGCGAACGACAGCCTCCGGAATGCCTGATATCTGTAAACGTGCCCACAGTGCACACTTGTCTTCTGAACTTGTGTCACCAGCTTGGCTCACATCGTCACTATCTTTTGTGGAAGATGAATTGCTAAGAACCGAGCTCGACAGAGACAGGCTTCGAGATGGGATCGAGCTGAGCGTGTCGGCACCTGACAACGAATAATTTCGCATTGATGAGTTCGTACGTAACCGCCGGCGATTAATCTTGTTGATCCCTTGGTACACTTTGGCTAATACTTCTTTTTCGGATGGTGTCGTTACAATTTCAAGTCCTGCTTCTCCATCATCTACACCACAACGGTCTCCATCGCTGCTGGAAGACGAGTTCTCCAATTCGTAGTTGTAAGCCTTGTCTTTGTAGCCATACTGTTGCTTAATATCGCTGGAGTCGCTGTTGCTTACCCTAGTGCTATGTCTCCTCTTTGCCTGATGTCTTGAAGCATCGGACTCATCAACCATATGCCTTTTCCACTGGATGAGCAACTCAACGCTGTATGTTCTGCCTTTGCGCGGTTGCTCTTGTTTATCGCAAGATTCGGGTTTCTCCACATCAAGCTTTCTGCTGCTTTTCTTCGTGTGAAGTTTATGCTGCAATGTTTTCCGCTGCTCTTCTTCCTGCGCTAGCTGTGATCGATACTTATGGCGCAGTGTTGCCAGCTCGTTGTCGTCAATTTGTTCGTGGATGAATCCGATAAGATCGAGAAATGATTCGGCTACAGAGTACTCATTCAGCATTGTCCAGCAAAATTCGTTAATTACCTCGAGCACCACGTTTACATCGTGAATCTCCACAAGCGCTGAGCTCAAATACAACAACACCGCCAGCGATGTCGAAAATATAATCTTCGAGCTGAGGCAACGACGGCAAATGTCCACAAACATGATATCGTACAGGCGGCAGACAACGTCAAACGGCATGGATTCGGCAAAGAACGAGAAGAACCACTTTGTGCAAAGCAGCTGGATCGACACCCCCATAACTGCAAAGTGTTCGCTAAGCGCCAGATCATGCACGCGTAACAACTCCTGCAGTACGAGACAGTCCGTGTGGAAGTCCACAACCGACTCGTCGAAGTATTTGGGCAGCAGTACTTCCAGCAGCAGTCGAAAGCTCCAGAAAGCATCTTCCTCGGCCAAAAACGTACTTAGCACGACACACGACTCTACCATGCCGTGGCAGTAGTAAAAAGCGTCTTTTGGCTTGATGTAAGCCAGCAAGATACGCCGAATTTTGCGCTCCTGAAAGGGATTCAGGTGGTCGAATCGCTCCATTGCCTCTTCTTGGGCTTGATCCAACGAGGTGCTTGTACTAACATCAGCCTTCTCTAGTATCTCCTCGTCTTTTATCCCGTTCAGTATTTGTTTGTAGCTGGCACTGCCTTCGCTCTGTCGCTGTAGCCTTATGCTCTGCATTGCGTCATGAAAGAGGTTCACGGAAAGTTACAAGCTGCTATCAGACGTCGTATACCACCTCTTGCTGCGTAACTTGTTTTCAAGCCTTCAGTTATCAAAAAAGAGTTACGTTAGACTTACCTGTTCGTATAACAGAATGGGCCAGGCCCACTCGCGGTGCTCGGACGGGATACCGTGCACACGGATAGCGCTCCACACGTCACACCTGCTGTTCAGCGAGTGATGCTCGCGCCCTGACCGGCCAATCTCCTGCTCGAGCCGCCGTGCCTCCTCTCGAAGCTGGCTCCACGCAACTTCCATGCGCTCTGAGTGCTCAGTGGCGTGCCGTCCGGGACTTTCGAGGCTGTTTGTGCGAACTGCGTTTTGTTAGGACTGTATTTTTCGAACGGTCGTGTTAACTGTTCGATACGAACCTAACAAGGTGAGCACGAGGCTGCAGTTACAAACCGTTGTCAGAAGATGCAATTCCGTGACATTTTGGCGTGCTGCAAATCGTCCGAGACCAAGATGTATACTGCCAGTAAGCGCTGTATACTAATAGTGCCGGCTGTGTACCGTCAGTGAGTGAGTGCTCAACTTCTTCTCTTCCCATTCATTTTTACATGTATTTCTGCTATGTTTCTGCGACGGAACCTTTTCGACATGGTGCACTTACTGCTGCGTGCTTGGACGATGAACAAGAACAGTGTGCTGCTGCGTCTGACGTGCCCAGCACAACTGAGAGAGTGGCAGACATCGACTCTGCTTCTTCGTATCTTTCGCTCGTCAACGACGACGCTGGACGTCACGACGACTCAACCGTCTGCCACCAATCGCGTTGCCACCGCCCGGTGCCGCACCTGCAAAGCCAGGCAAATTGTGGCGAGACAAGCCGTTGTTGCCGACCTGCCCGAAGTTCGTCATCGCGCCTTGTCCCGGTATCCTACCAACCGCGTTCCCAGCTTGGTCACCGATACCAAGTTGCTGCCCGAAGCCGTTTCGCTGCCCGAAACCCATTCGCTGCCCGAAACCCATTCGCTGACTGAAGCTGTTCCCCATGCCATTCCCACTGAAGGTTTGTCCGCCAACTCCGCCGAACATGCCGCCACCGAAACCACCCATCCCACTGGCACCGCCGAAATTGCCGCCCCGGTTGCTCGTGGGAACTTCACCAAGACTGCCAGAGTTTGCAGGGAACCCACCAGCACCACCACCAGCAGCAGCAGTAGACGGGGCACCGAGTCCACCTCCCAACGCGTTGCTTGGACTTCCAACTGTTGGCCTCGACGACAAGTCCCCGGTCACACCTGCGCCACGAGGCTGAGCGACACCTCGTGGTTGTTGTGATACGGACGGAATACCCACGCTGCTGGCAGATCTCGTTGGTGCCGGGGTAGCTCTCGATTGCGAGGTCATGGTCGCTGCAGGAGTTGCGGCTGGGCTTGCATTAGCAGTCGTTGGGGCTGGCGTGACAGCTCCTAGTCCTGTTGATGTGGCAGCTCCTGCACCCGCTGACCCAATGGCGCCAGTAGCAGCACCTGTTGCAGCAACGTTGGTCGAAGCGACATTGGTCGACGCGACGTTGGTGGAGGTGCCAACAACAGCAGTAGTATCAGAGCTAGCAACTACCGTGGACGGGACACTGACAGGAACTGGAATGAAGTGCGGTACTTCCACAGGCACGGGAATGGCGATTTTCTTGACTTTCTTGACGTGGTGATGGTGGTGGCGTCGATCTTTCCTACTTTCATCGGCTTCTTCTTGGACTGTCGGAGTGTCCGCATCGGCAAGTCGTCTGTGGATCACAAGTGTATTCGGTACGCTCTCAGAGACAACGCAGAGACTCAGCGCTACGATGGTCACGAATGTAGTGGCAGATTTCATGCGAGAATTGAAGTCGATCGAGACGTGAGTGGTGGAAGACTAGCTCGCTGCTTGCGAAGTAGTGAATGACTTGCGAGGTGCGAACATTGATCGTTGGTTGGATCGTTGTACTAGCACCTTCTCCGTCACGACACCTCAGTCAAACAAATGAATGTCGAACATGCTCGATGTGGCTCGTGGAGAGTGACAGCTTCGACATGATGAAGAAGCGCTGAACGCGTGACACCATCGAGTGATGTGTCTGACTGAAGATTTGACGTGTCGTGATTGATGCAAAGGTGGTATGCATGTCCGTGGTTTGATTGTGTAAGTGAGTCTTATTACACGGCTTCCGCTTGGGTGTTGGCTGCATCTCGAACCCACCACCAAGCTAGATATGGTAGCTAGCAGCCAGCGCTCACTATGGTGGTATGTGTGAACAAGCTCTGTTTGCGACTACTGCGTGTATGTACGGCTGGCTACGGCTACATGGGCCAAAGCACGTACAGAGTAGCAAATTTGGACGTCGCACTGACTTCTGTCTGTGCCGTCGTCACAGCTTTTGCACGATGCGCTAGTTTGCGCGACCGTAAATTACACGTTTGACGATAGATGCAGGATGGATGGAAATGCGAAACGCCTCCTTCGACTCATCCACATTCACCACCATCTCGAAGCAGCGTTTACAAGACTGCGGGGGGGGGGGGTAAATAGTAAAGACAACATCCTGTGACGAAAGCTTTGGAGGTCGAGCTCCACCAGGTCGATTCCTGTTCGAGTTCGAGTCCGCTCAAGGTCGGGTCCGCCCCGCTATCAGTCGAGTTGTGGGAATGCTGCGCCGGATGTCGTAGCCCAAATGTGTTGCATGGTATTGGAGTGAGGACTGTCACGACGGTGTGCAACCTGCCGCTTCGTCTGGAGCAAGAATGACGTGATGTCATGTGAAGCTCTGGAGACGATTTGTCGAGCTCAAACGATGCGAGCTCCGATTTCTGCCGACTACTGGGTGACACACCGTCACGTGACACACTGTCACATGGCAGCTAAGCTTTGAGCATGTTCGTCATTCTTGAAACAGTGGTAACGAGGCGAGTACAGCGTAGCGGAGATGGCTGTTGTATGCGCTCATTGTGAAGAAGAATATCCGCAAGTGCGAGTAGTGCGAAGTGCCCTTGTCTTGAGTGTATCCGTACCTGTCACTCGCAAAATCATTGATTGTTCCTGAGGGTCATGAGGGTCTTCCCTCGTACGGTCTTTGGTTGCCCATACTTCATGCTTGTCGACAGGTAGGCCTCGCTGATTCCTTGGCGCACTCGTTCTATCTAAGTGATGCCAACGTTTTCGCTCGCAGACAAGTGGACACAGAATGCGGATCCGATCCTCCTCCTCTGCACTGTGCCTCTTGGGATGTGCAAATCGTTTCGAGACCGAGATGTGAATACCCACAACGAAGTCTGTTGACCGTTAGTGAGTGAGTGCTCAACCTCTTCTCTTCCCATTCATTTTTACATGTATTTATGCTATGTTTCTGCAATAGAACCTTTTCGACATGGTGCACTAACTGCTGCGTGCTCGGACGATGAACAAGAACAGTGTGCTGCTGTGTCTGACGTGCCCAGCACAACTGAGAGAGTGGCAGACATCGACTCTGCTTCTTCGTATCTTTCGCTCATCAACGACGACGCTGGACGTCACGACGACTCAACCGTCTGCCACCAATCGCGTTGCCACCGCCCGGTGCCGCACCTGCAAAGCCAGGCAAATTGTGGCGAGACAAGCCGTTGTTGCCGACCTGCCCAAAGTTCGTCATCGCGCCTTGTCCCGGTATCCTACCAACCGTGTTCCCACCTTGGGCGCCGATACCAAGTTGCTGCCCGAAGCCGTTACGCTGCCCGAAACCCATTCGCTGACTGAAGCTGTCCCCCACGCCATTCCCACTGAAGGTTTGTCCGCCAACTCCGCCGAACATGCCGTCACCGAAACCGCCCATCCCACTGGCACCACCGAAATTGCCGCCCCGGTTGCTCGTGGGAACTTCACCAGTATTGCCAGAGTTTGCAGGGAACCCACCAGCACCGCCACCAGAAGCAGCAGTAGTAGACGGGGCACCGAGTCCACCTCCCAACGCGTTGCTTGGACTTCCAACTGTTGGCCTCGATGACAAGTCCCCGGTCACACCTGCGCCACGAGGCTGAGCGACACCTCGTGGCTGTTGTGATACGGACGGAATACCCACGCTGCTGGCAGATCTCGTTGGTGCCGGGGTAGCTCTCGATTGCGAGGTCATGGTCGCTGCAGGAGTTGCGGCTGGGCTTGCATTAGCAGTCGTTGGGGCTGGCGTGACAGCTCCTGGTCCTGTTGATGTGGCAGCTCCTGCACCCGCTGACCCAATGGCGCCAGTAGCAGCACCTGTTGCAGCAACGTTGGTCGAAGCGACATTGGTCGACGCGACGTTGGTGGAGGTGCCAACAACAGCAGTAGTATCAGAGCTAGCAACTACCGTGGACGGGACACTGACAGGAACTGGAATGAATTGCGGTACTTCCACAGGCACGGGAATGGCGATTATCTTGACTTTCTTGACGTGGTGATGGTTGGTCGACGCGACGTTGGTGGAGGTGCCAACAACAGCAGTAGTATCAGAGCTAGCAACTACCGTGGACGGGACACTGACAGGAACTGGAATGAAGTGCGGTACTTCCACAGGCACGGGAATGGCGATTTTCTTGACTTTCTTGACGTGGTGATGGTGGTGGCGTCGATCTTTCCTACTTTCATCGGCTTCTTCTTGGACTGTCGGAGTGTCCGCGTCGACACATACTCCGCGGAGTGCAGGTGTATTCGGTGCGCTCTCAGAGACAACGCAGAGACTCAGCGCTACGATGGTCGCGAATGTAGTGGCAGATTTCATGCGAGAATTGAAGTCGATCGAGACGTGAGCGGTGGAAGACTGGCTCGCTGCTTGCAAATTAGTGAATGACTTACGAGGCGCGAACATTGATCGTTGGTTGGATCGTTGCACTGGCACCTTCTCCTTCACGACACCTCAGTCAAACAAATGAATGTCGAACGTGCTCGAAGTGGCTCGTGGAGAGTGACAGCTTCGACATGATGAAGAAGCGCTGAACGCGTGACACCATCGACTGATGTGTCTGACTGAAGATTCGACGTGTCGTGATTGATGCAAAGGCGGTATGCATGTCCGTGGTTTGATTGTGTAAGCGAGTCTTATTACACGGCTTCCGTTTGGGTGCTGGCTGCATCTTGAACCCATCACCAAGCTAGATATGGTAGCTAGCAGTCAGCGCACTATGGTGGTATGTGTGAACAAGCTCTGTTTGCGACTACTGCGTGTATGTACGGCTGGCTACGGCTACATGGGCCAAAGCACGTACAGAGTAGCAAATTTGGACGTCACACTGACTTCTGTCTGTACCGTCGTCACAGCTTTTGCACGATGCGCTAGTTTGCGCGACCGTAAATTACACGTTTGACGATGGATTCAGGATGGATGGAAATGCGAAACGCCTCCTTCGACTCATCCACATTCACCACCATCTCGAAGCAGCGTTTACAAGACTGCGGGGGGGGGGTGAATAGTAAAGACAACATCCTGTGACGAAAGCTTTGGAGGTCGAGCTCCACCAGGTCGATTCCTGTTCGAGTTCGAGTCCGCTCAAGGTCGGGTCCGCCCCGCTATCAGTCGAGTTGTGGGAATGCTGCGCCGGATGTCGTAGCCCAAATGTGTTGCATGGTATTGGAGTGAGGACTGTCACGACGGTGTGCAACCTGCCGCTTCGTCTGGAGCAAGAATGACGTGATGTCATGTGAAGCTCTGGAGACGATTTGTCGAGCTCAAACGATGCGAGCTCCGATTTCAGCCGACTACTGGGTGACACACCGTCACGTGACACACTGTCACATGGCAGCTAAGCTTTGAGCATGTTCGTCATTCTTGAAACAGTGGTAACGAGGCGAGTACAGCGTAGCGGAGATGGCTGTTGTATGCGGTCATTGTGAAGAAGAATGTCCGCAAGTGCGAGTAGTGCGAAGTGCCCATGTCTTGAGTGTATCCGTACCTGTCACTCGCAAAATCATTGATTGTTCCTGAGGGTCATGAGGGTCTTCCCTCGTACGGTCATTGGTTGCCCATACTTCATACTTGTCGACAGGTAGGCCTCGCTGATTCCTTGGCGCACTCGTTCTATCTAAGTGATGCCAACGTTTTCGCTCGCAGACAAGTGGACACAGAATGCGGATCCAATCCTCCTCCTCTGCACTGTGCCTCTTGGGATGTGTAAATCGTTTCGAGACCGAGATGTGAATACCCAGAACGAAGTCTGTTGACCGTCAGTGAGTGAGTGCTCAACCTCTTCTCTTCCCATTCATTTTTACATGTATTTATGCTATGTTTCTGCAACGGAACCCTTTCGGCATGGTGCACTTACTGCTTCGTGCTCGGACGATGAACAAGAACAGTGTACTGCTGCGTCTGACGTGCCCAGCACAACTGAGAGAGTGGCAGCAATCGACTCTGCTTCTTCGTATCTTTCGCTCGTCAGCGACGACGCTGGACGTTACGACGACTCAACCGTCTGCCACCAATCGCATTGCCACCGCCCGGTGCCGCACCTGCAAAGCCTGGCAAATTGTTGCGAGACAAGCCGTTGTTGCCGACCTGCCCGAAGTTTGTCATCGCGCCTTGTCCCGGTATCCTACCAACCGCGTTCCCAGCTTGGTCACCGATACCAAGTTGCTGCCCGAAGCCGTTTTGCTGCCCGAGACCCATTCGCTGACTGAAGCTGTCCCCCATGCCATTCCCACTGAAGGTTTGTCCGCCAACTCCGCCGAACGTACCGCCACCGAAACCACCCATCCCACTGGCACCGCCGAAATTGCCGCCCCGGTTGCTCGTGGGAACTTCACCAAGACTGCCAGAGTTTGCAGGGAACCCACCAGCACCGCCACCAGCAGCAGCAGTAGTAGACGGGGCACCGAGTCCACCTCCCAACGCGTTGCTTGGACTTCCAACTGTTGGCCTCGACGACAAGTCCCCGGTCACACCTGCGCCACGAGGCTGAGCGACACCTCGTGGTTGTTGTGATACAGACGGAATACCCACGCTGCTGGCAGATCTCGTTGGTGCCGGGGTAGCTCTCGATTGCGAGGTCATGGTCGCTGCAGGAGTTGCGGCTGGGCTTGCATTAGCAGTCGTTGGGGCTGGCGTGACAGCTCCTAGTCCTGTTGATGTGGCAGCTCCTGCACCCGCTGACCCAATGGCACCAGTAGCAGCACCTGTTGCAGCAACGTTGGTCGAAGCGACATTGGTCGACGCGACGTTGGTGGAGGTGCCAACAACAGCAGTAGTATCAGAGCTAGCAACTACCGTGGACGGGACACTGACAGGAACTGGAATGAATTGCGGTACTTCCACAGGCACGGGAATGGCGATTTTCTTGACTTTCTTGACGTGGTGATGGTTGGTCGACGCGACGTTGGTGGAGGTGCCAACAACAGCAGTAGTATCAGAGCTAGCAACTACCGTGGACGGGACACTGACAGGAACTGGAATGAAGTGCGGTACTTCCACAGGCACAGGAATCGCGATTTTCTTGACTTTCTTAACATGGTGATGGTGGTGGCGTCGATCTTTCCTACTTTCATCGGCTTCTTCTTGGACTGTCGGAGTGTGTCCGCGTCGACACATACTCCGCGGAGTGCAGGTGTATTCGGTGCGCTCTCAGAGACAACGCAGAGACTCAGCGCTACGATGGTCGCGAATGTAGTGGCAGATTTCATGCGAGAATTGAAGTCGATCGAGACGTGAGCGGTGGAAGACTGGCTCGCTGCTTGCAAATTAGTGAATGACTTACGAGGCGCGAACATTGATCGTTGGTTGGATCGTTGCACTGGCACCTTCTCCTTCACGACACCTCAGTCAAACAAATGAATGTCGAACGTGCTCGAAGTGGCTCGTGGAGAGTGACAGCTTCGACGTGATGAAGAAGCGCTGAACGCGTGACATCATCGAGTGATGTGTCTGACTGAAGATTTGGCGTGTCGTGATTGATGCAAAGGTGGCATGCATGTCCGTGGTTTGATTGTGTAAGTGGGGCTTACACGGCTTCCGCTTGGGTGCTGGCTGCATCTTGAACCCACCACCAAGCTAGATATGGTAGCTAGCAGTCAGCGCTCACTATGGTGGCAATTGTGAACAAGCTCTGTTTGCGACTACTGCGTGTACGTACGGCTGGCTACGGCTACATGGGCCAAAGCACGTACAGAGTAGCAAATTTGGACGTCGCACTGACTTCTGTCTATACCGTCGTCACAGCTTTTGCACGATGCGCTAGTTTGCGCGACCGTAAATTACACGTTTGACGATAGATTCAGGATGGATGGAAATGCGAAACGCCTCCTTCGACTCATCCACATTCACCACCATCTCGAAGCAGCGCTTACAAGACTGCGGGGGGTAAATAGTAAAGACAACATCCTGTGACGAAAGCTTTGGAGGTCGAGCTCCACCAGGTCGATTCCTGTTCGAGTTCGAGTCCGCTCAAGGTCGGGTCCGCCCCGCTATCAGTCGAGTTGTGGGAATGCTGCGCCGGATGTCGTAGCCCAAATGTGTTGCATGGTATAGGAGTGAGGACTGTCACGACGGTGTGCAACCTGCCGCTTCGTCTGGAGCAAGAATGACGTGATGTCATGTGAAGCTCTGGAGACGATTTGTCGAGCTCAAACGATGCGAGCTCCGATTTCAGCCGACTACTGGGTGACACACCGTCACATGACACACTGTCACATGGCAGCTAAGCTTTGAGCATGTTCGTCATTCTTGAAACAGTGGTAACGAGGCGAGTACAGCGTAGCGGAGATGGCTGTTGTATGCGCTCATTGTGAAGAAGAATATCCGCAAGTGCGAGTAGTGCGAAGTGCCCATGTCTTGAGTGTATCCGTACCTGTCACTCGCAAAATCATTGATTGTTCCTGAGGGTCATGAGGGTCTTCCCTCGTACGGTCATTGGTTGCCCATACTTCATACTTGTCGACAGGTAGGCCTCGCTGATTCCTTGGCGCACTCGTTCTATCTAAGTGATGCCAACGTTTTCGCTCGCAGACAAGTGGACACAGAATGCGGATCCAATCCTCCTCCTCTGCACTGTGCCTCTTGGGATGTGTAAATCGTTTCGAGACCGAGATGTGAATACCCACAATGAAGTCTGTTGACCGTCAGTGAGTGAGTGCTCAACCTCTTCTCTTCCCATTCATTTTTACATGTATTTATGCTATGTTTCTGCAACGGAACCTTTTCGGCATGGTGCACTTACTGCTTCGTGCTCGGACGATGAACAAGAACAGTGTACTGCTGCGTCTGACGTGCCCAGCACAACTGAGAGAGTGGCAGACATCGACTCTGCTTCTTCGTATCTTTCGCTCGTCAGCGACGACGATGGACGTCACGACGACTCAACCGTCTGCCACCAATCGCATTGCCACCGCCCGGTGCCGCACCTGCAAAGCCTGGCAAATTGTGGCGAGACAAGCCGTTGTTGCCGACCTGCCCGAAGTTCGTCATCGCGCCTTGTCCCGGTATCCTACCAACCGCGTTCCCAGCTTGGTCACCGATACCAAGTTGCTGCCCGAAGCCGTTTCGCTGCCCGAAACCCATTCGCTGACTGAAGTTGTCCCCCATGCCATTCCCACTGAAGGTTTGTCCGCCAACTCCGCCGAACATGCCGTCACCGAAACCACCCATCCCACTGGCACCGCCGAAATTGCCGCCCCGGTTGCTCGTGGGAACTTCACCAAGACTGCCAGAGTTTGCAGGGAACCCACCAGCACCGCCACCACCAGCAGCAGCAGTAGACGGGGCACCGAGTCCACCTCCCAACGCGTTGCTTGGACTTC